GGGGGCTCTTTCGCGCCGCCCTGCGCTGGCTGTGTGTGTATGTGGACGGAAATTTGTCCAAATTTAGTCAGAGCACCACTTCTTGTATTTATTTATCTTTAACAGCCTCGGAAAGCGGCAGCGGGCCGAGCTGGTGGGGCGTTTTTCCTGGCTGGAAGAGGAGGGATTGTACTTGAGGGGGGAGAAAAGGCGCTGAGGGGAGGCTGGCAGGCGGGAACTGACGCGGATGGAGGGGTTGGTGGAACAGAAAAGGAGAGGTCGGGCGGGATCTGGTGTGGATGGGGAGGCAGATAAAAAAAGCCAGAGCGTAAAACAAGCAAAGGCAAAGAGAAAGAAACACATTGGGCTGAAGCTGAGGAATGTGAGGTTTGCTGGGAAAGGCAAAAGCAGCAAGGCTCCTACTCTTCATCAGCTGCCATTCCCCTCGCAAATGTGGAGGAGGTTCCGTTGCCCCTCAGGGTGCCGGTTGCCACAGATGCACAGCCTTCCACCTCCACCTCGATCCATTGACTCATTCCTTCCCTGTGCTGCCCTCTGCTCATCCTGCCCAAAAATCAGGGCAAGGAAGCAGAATGGTGGACGGGCTGGTCACTATGGCAGAGTTGGTGCGAATGGGATGTCCTCTGCTGATAAACCAGCTGGGCTGGAAATGCGGAGCTGCAGCCACGATTTGCTGTTCCTGTGCTGTCAACAAATAACAGCAGGAAACCATCAAGTCTTATCTGTACACGATGGCAGTTTGCCAGTGGCAGAGGTTAATCCTCCAGCTCAAATGGCAGGACATGTTGTGGAGTTACAGTGTTCACCAAGTCTGCTAATGATCATGAAGTAACATACATGAATTCACGTGATGGGATTAGTGTCCTCTCTTTGCTTTTAATACAACCTGCAAAAATTATGATGCTTGAATTAACCTCTTCCTGCATGTATTCATAGACTCATAGAATAGTTAGGGTTGGAAAGGACCTTAAGATCATCTAGTTCCAGCCCCCCTGCCATGGGCACGGACACCTCACACTAAACCATGTCACCCGAGGCTCTGTCCAACCCAGCCTTGAACACTGCCAGGGATGGAGCATTCACAGCTTCCTTGGGAATCCCATTCCAGTGCCTCACCACCCTCACAGTAAAGAACTTCTTCCTTATATCCAATCTAAACTATCCCTGTTTAAGTTTTAACCTGTTACCCCTTGTCCATCACTACAGTACCTGATGAAGAGTCCCTCTCCAGCATCCCTATAGGCCCCCTTCAGATACTGGAAGGCTGCTATGAGGTCTCCACGCAGCCTTCTCTTCTCCAGGCTGAACAGCCTGTCTTCATACGAGAGGTGCTCCAGTCCCCTGATCATCCTCGTGGCCCTTCTCTGGTCTTACTCCAACAGTCCCATGTCCTTTTTATGTTGAGGACACCAGAACTGCACAGACCTCACTCGAGCGGAGGTCTCATGAGAGCAGAGTAGAGGGGCAGGATCACCTCCTTCGACCTGCTGGTCATGCTGCTTTTGATGCAGCCCAGGATACAGTTGGCTTTCTGGACTGCAAGAGCATGCTGCCCACTCGTGTTAAGTTTCTCATCAGATTCATCACACTGTAGGTTTAAATGGCATGATCGTATTTTTTTTTTTTTTCCCCAGGATGCCTTTCTTCCAAAGTACATGAGGTGGATGATGCTCTAGGGATGAACTGTAGCTAGGCACTTGAAGGGGGATGTTACCCAGCTGGCTCCTGCTTCAGTTTTGCAGAAGCTGGAACACATACAGCGAGAAACATGAGGGAGGTCCAAGGGATGGCCTTGGGAGCAAGGTATTTAAACACCACTTAGCAGAGTCTGCATTCACAACAGAGCTACTACAGAATGTTGGGCAACAACTTAAACTTCAGCAGGATTGCCACTGCAGGTGTGTGCTCCATTGCTCATATATCCAATCTGCACTGTCACAGCTACAGCTGAGATCACCAGACTTCTAGTCCCAATAAAGTGAGTGCAGCAAAAGGCTAAATACTCTGTAAGAGTAAGTGAAATGAAAGTTAGAGGTGCCTGGGACTGAGAATCCAAAGTACCTTGTCTCTTGTTCATGTTCTTTATCAGACTTAAGGTTTATTTAGATTAACATTTTCTGTGATATCAAAGCTAGACACTGTTTCCTCATGTCACATCTGCTCATATGCCGCTCCCTGCCTCTGTGCGGCAGCTACTGGCTCCCCAAAGGCACTAATGAAACTGTTTGTGGGCCTGCAGTGCAGATGATATACAGGCCAATCTCATAAGTGATTGCATCTGCGCTGCTGTGGAGGCAGTGAGCTTTGCCGCCAGAGTGGGACTGGGGAGCTGAAGATGGCGCCACTGGATTGTCTTCAACGGTCTTTGCCATGGGAGGAAACTTTCCTACAACTACACTCCAAGTCCCCCATCGCTCGAGTAGTAATGATGGCGTGGAAACTTGCCCCTCACCTTCCAATGGCTTATAACAACATCTGCATTAATGCTGGGGAGTAACTTTGCCATCTGAGCCCCTGAGCAACATCAGTGAGTAATTCTCTGCCCAGAGCAGAGTTGTGGCAGCATCTTGCATATACGGACACACAAGCACAGGCAGAAAAAGGAAGAAGTCAAAATATTGACCAGACTCTCACCAAGTGCTCACTGGTTGTTCTGCTCACCAAATGATGCCAGAATCCTACAGCAAAAAGCCCACCCCACTAATTTGTTTTGAAATACTCTGTTTACCAAAAGAAAAATACCACTCTCTTCCCCTTTAGATCTGTTCAGTACAGCTGTTTCTCCATTTCAACTTGCCTGTGATGCCTGTGAGGGTGCTGCTGGTGGTGAGCAGTACCCTGGTGCCCAGGGAGCAGCAATGAACTGACAGGGGTGTGCTGCCAGGGCAGACCACTGTAGTCCTTGCCCTGACAGGGGCTGCTGCATTCATTTCCTCCCTCTGAAAGCAGCATGTGAGCCAAGAGCTGTAAGGGGGGAGAAAGGCAGCCTGTGTTCCTCAGGGAAAGACAGGCTTTGGGGTACGTTACTGGCTTGCTGGAGGAGACTCTTGCCAGAGGACAGAGAGAATAGATCAGCTGGGCCGTGTGAGAGGATGGCCTGCCCCACCAAACATCAATACACTTAAGCAAACTGGGGAGCAGGCACTGCTTCCAGAAGTTAGAAGGGCAGAAGTTTCCTTTGTTCTGTTTGTCTTATGGGAAAAAGAGATGAGGAAATAGGTTTAAGGATTCTGGATATAGAGAAGGGAATGACCTCTTTATTTCCACAGTAGCACAGCCCATTCAGCAGTGACAGTTTTTGAAGACAGTTTTAAGCTTCTCTGTAGCTGAGGAAACAGTGACTGGTAGGGGTAGGGAATCTAGAGAGTTTAGTGCATGTTTGTTGGGTTACTTTTGGTTTGAAATAAGGGCAGCTTCAAGGACAAATGACCAAGTTCCCAAGCCAGTATTTTGTGGTTTTATAATCACACTTTCAAAAATGTTTTCTCCTTCCTGTTGCTGTGTGGAAGATTCACCAAAATAGCCCTGAAGATTGCCAACGCACCAGGCAAAAGAAGAAAATATTTCTAATAGCATCTGTTTTGCAGTTTGTATGACATACAACACCAGGAGACAAATAGGTTTGAAATGCTAGTGTGTTTTCTATTGGTTTTGACAGTGACTCTTTAAGAACATAACATTGCCTCCAGAGTTTATTTTGCAGTCCCCAGTAAGTAAGAGTTAAGCTTCCAGGCATGGCTACTTTGGAGTTTTTTTAGTTGTTCCTAAAATCATGGTCTAAAATCTCCTAAAATGCAGATGGAGAAGTTGCATGTTTTTGGAAGGACTTGTTAATTGCATTCCCTCAGTACTCCATACTCTGCTTTCAATACCTGTATTCAAAGAAATAACTTTCATAACTTTATTCTCTTTAATTAGAAAATATGAAGAACACTTCCCTTTTTTTGGAATAACTATGATAGAAAAATAATGAGCTAAAGAGGACATACGTGGTGACTGATGAGTGACTGTTCATGCAGATAGCATGCTGCTTCAGATGGCTTTGGTCCATGCAGCTGGTGCTCTTCAGGCAATGCCCAGGCATAAGGCAGAAACCATTCCCAGTAGGGAGCATGGAGACTTGTTTCACAAGAGAAGGAGAGTGCTGCCACATGGATACAAGCTGGGCAGCATCACTGGCCCTTGGAGCCAGAGGACAGGCACTGAACCTGGTGAGGTTGCTAATACAGACATAACTGAATGATTTATGAAGGAGGCAATTCTCCATTTTCAAGTGGAAGGCTGAGGAGCAGTGAGGTGAAGCAGCTAGGGCAAGCAATAAGAGCTTGAGATACAACACATCTTTTTGTAAAGTTTCAGGGCCGTAAATTCACAATGTTGATGTTTCAGGTTTCTATAATCACGTAACTAGTATGAAGCACTGCCACAAATCTCAGCTTCATTCAGTGCTTAGCTGCCCTAACCTTTTCCTGAATAATGGTCCTGGTCCTCTGCACAATCTGTTAGGAGGGTCTCAGGCTGGTGGAACTTGTGGGGTGCATGGAGGTGCTTGCCTGGTTTCTTTACAGAGTGAATTTAAGCAGCAAAATGCAGACTTCAGCTGCACCAGATATATCTGAGTAGTGTTCTTTTCATCAGGAAAATGCATGTATCCTGTAGGATGTGAAATGTGATCTACAAGGTAAAGGGAGGAAGAAGCAGGATGAAATTGGTGGTTTTTTTCTCCTACAAGAAGTCTGTAACCTCTGGCAGTAAGTGTTGTGTCACCTGGGTGTGTTTATGCCTAGGACGTTACTGCTAAGCATTTGTCTGTGAGAGACCAGCATGAGTTTGAAGAAGAGAGACACAAGGAACCTTTTCCTTCAGCACACTACTTAAGCTTTTCAAACACTAAACTTAGGGATACAGCAGCAGTAAAACAAAATAAATTCCAGCTTTCCCTCTCCTCCCTCCCCAAACTCCCAGGGTTCTCCCTAAATAATGTCTGTGGTCACCTATTTAGGTTACTTACAAAAATTTCCACTTACCACAGTAATTTTGTAGGAATGAGTGTGTTCCTTCAGTGCTAGAGAACATGGCTTTGTGATAATAAGGGAAGAAAGAGGGAGTGGAAAAAAGACCAAAGGAAAGTAGAGGCTTTGCCTAGTACTGTCCTTTTACCAAATAGCCTGAGTAGGGAATGGGGGAAAGGCCAGGCAGTCCTTCATCCCGAGTTCTTGTGTCAGTGAAGACTGAAAGCAAGTTGTGACAGTTTCACAGGGTTAAGACCATGTTTTGGGTTGGTTGATGTTTGTTCAGGCAGGAAGGCTGCCTGTGCAGGTAACTCTAAGCACTTCTATTTTGTCTGACTCACAGGTTGCCACACCTGAAAAAAGGGAAGTCCAGTTAAGCTTGGAAACAGAGTGTACCTAAAAACTGCCTTTGTTAAAAACAAAACAACAAATGTAAGTTCTCACTGCTCAAGCAGCTCTGCTTTAAAATCCCTGAGATTTTTCTCCTCTCTCCTCCTGTTACACTGTATGAATATACCTGAGGAGTTTAAGACGCAGACTTTCACTGGAGTGCCTTGCTGACTTGGAGGTTCATCAGAGCAGTACCCTTATACCCTGAAAAGAGCAGTCTGCAGAAGAGCAAGTGGGTTATGAAGTTGATGAGCCTTCAAAATCAGGTGACGAGCTCACCTGCTACATATTTTAAGACAGGTCTTTTCAATGTAGGAAAGAAAGATGTTAAGGAAAAGGTTATACACATGCATACAGTAGAGGAGGAGAGCTATTTCCAGCAGAAAGTTGGATGTGCGTGGGATCAGGATGTGCTGATCCAGACTTCTGCAGGTAACATGCTGAATTCGTACAGTCCTCTGGTTTATGAGTTTGAAATTTCCAAAGGTGCCTTTGGGATTTAGGCATCCAATCTGTAGTGGTACCAGGGTGCTTAAATGCAGTAATCGTAAGTACAAACTTACTGTGAAGACACAGAGAAGAGCAAAGTGACTGAGTAATCATTTTTTTCACCCAAAGTGATGCCAGTGTGTACTCCCAGCTCCCATGAAGCAGCTATAGGCGTGCATCATTTCAGTGAGAGTGTCATCCTTGAACAACACCAGCCATTCCACTTTTGTAAATTGGCTTAAAAAGGTTCTAGATTTTCCTGATCAATATGGAGGAGGACAAGCCTCTTTTGAAATGCCTATTGATCCTGCTTCTTACAGGAGGGGCATCATGGCTTGACCCGAAGAAGTCTGCAGTGTTTCTGAAATGAGCTGTGACTGCTTTTTCATCACTCTTAAGTGGAAGGCTTTCTGTGCTTGATGTTGTAAGTGTTGAAAGTCTCTGACCTACACAGGTCTACAGCTACACAACTGTGTATTTCCTTTTTTTATTTCAGTCTTTCCCCAAAACTGTGGAGTATAGAAAAAAGGTTACATTTCCCCAAACAATTCCACTAATTAAATAGGAGAACAGTATAAAAATCTGTATGTAAACATAAATCTCTTTCACGGATATCCCCTTGTTATGGGGAAAGAGCTCGTGTGCCCTTGTGAGGTTGGGAGCTATGCTGGTGGTGGCATATGCCTCTGGTAGGGTCTCCCATGCCAGACAGGTCTCAACTGAATGGTCAGACAAAGTGTGTCCATGGGCAGGATGGGCTCACTAGCCTTGGGCAACCATCCTAGGAGAAGGACAACTCTGACTTCAAATCCAGGCAGATGGAGCTCGTTTAGCAGAATCTTACAGAAAATTCAGCAGAATCTCACAGAAAATTCAAGTGGATTTTCATACAACATATTTGTAAAGCCAATAAGTAGCTAAAAATGCACTTCACCCTTGGAATTTCACATGAAAACCACTTCTAAAAGGAAACGTCCCTGTTCCTCTTTTTCCTTAGTTCCTGGGGTACTTGCCACTGCTTGTATTTTGTGTGGTGAAATTAGTGTACTAGGCACTGAACTGAAAGAAGCAAAATGATAGAACTTGTCCTTCATTTATCTTGTTTATTTGCTTGCTTCTTGCCTTCCAGGCCTGAGTTGATGCCTTCTGTCCTTTACAGAAATAACACTCCTTAACATTACATGCACATGCCACCAGCCCCTTGGAACAGCCCACACTTTAGACACTAATAACCTCCCCTATCCCACTTTAAAAAGGCTGGGGAGCTGAACTTGTCAGACTCTTTCTGTGAGCTTCTATGACATTTAAAGGGGAGAAGCAAGAAGAGACTTGAACATGGTAAAGGGATGAACTGCAGTGCACAACAGTGTAGATAATAGGCAATGGGTAAGAGACTACAGAAAGGCTTAAAAATTTCTTTTAAGAAAATTTTAAGATACTTTTGGCAAAATACTTGTGTGTGTATTATGGTGCTGTGCTTTGTGGCTGTGCTTTACACACTGATAAGCCAGACCTTTAAAAAGTCTTGGCCTCCACCCCACTCATTTGTTGCCAACTAAGCCAAACATTTCACTGGCTTTCCCTCCTTGGGAAGTTCCTCCTCTCCCTCCCTTTTTTCCACGCGAAGTGCTCATTAGCTGTCCACTACTTTCTAGCCCTTTTCCCTTCCATGCTATAGACTGTCTAATCACATTTCTCGGATAACTTTAAGGTACTTTAGAAAATACCACATTAATATTCCTCCAGTTTTGAAGCCTCTCTTGTTACAGTTCCCTCAACTGTACATTGGTAGATCAAAGAAGCAGAAATCATTGCCAGCTTGAGATAAAAATGTCTCCACTCAGTGTAAGCACAGCTCTGTGATGAGCACAGACTGTGTTATCTTTTGTCTGCTCTTTTCCAGTGGCTGCTGTCCCTACTCCCCCATTTTTGAATTTTCTACCTCAGCTTGTACCAAAAGTAGGATCCAGCTATCAAGGTATAATGAAGTACACTTAGAAGGGCTCAGTTCATCTTTACAGCAGGCTAACAAGCACCAGCCTTTCAAAAAGTAGGATCAACAGAAGGGTGCCTCCTGTTTTGTCTCCCTAAAGCAAACAGAGAATTGCACAAAGCTGTGAATTATACTCACATGGATGGCACAAATAATGGAATAGAAGTGTTTTCAGAGTAATAACAACAAACAAGATAGGTACCTTGGACACCTAACCCAAATCCTGTACAAGTCACTGATCAAATACTTTGGGCTTTTTTAGGAAAAAAAAAATATTAACTTGTTGATAGTTGCATTTTCCTAAAAAAAGTGTTTTAGATCAAGTTTTAAAACAATTGTAAAGCAATAAAGCAATATATTTGACAATCATCCTCTTATTTACAGACCTCAATACAGACTAAGGGCACCAAGACTCAACTGTTCAAAGTTCTGGTCAGGAAAGAAAGTGTTAAAATGTTTACTGAACAGGACTGCTATCAACTGGATTAACCTCTAACATCATTTTCCTAGACAGAAATGTCTCTTCCAATTTGATTCCTCCCTGATGTTGATCTTCTCCTCCAGTAACCAACTTCTTGCTGTCTGCAGCACAACAGAAGATCAGTTCTCTTGTGAAAGAAGAAAATCAGCACAGCCACAAGCTCTGCCTCACCTCAGAATAAAGCTGAAGCCTCAGAAGAAAGGCCGATGTTGGGGAACACCACTGAGCAATTCCAAGAAGCCAGTTTAATTTGATGGCAAGGAAGCATTAGTGTGAATTGAAGCAGAAGTCCTCAGTACTGCAGCTTTAACAATATAAACTCAGTATTTTCATCTTCTGTCGCAAGTCATTAGGAATATTAGTTCCTGTTCAGACAGCCTTACTGTGGACTGTACCTCAGTTGGAGGTACTGCTTTTCTAATTTACTGTCTTTGTGTATGCTTTAAGGCTGCTGCACCAAATTTCCTGGCAACACCTGCAGTTATGACCCCTGCAATGAGAATTCAGAAACTGTTCCAGTCTGTCTGGATGAAGAGCTATGGCAACCAAGTGTTTCCTTTGAAGTCCATGTGCACCCTTCTCCCCAGCAGCCTTTGTATCCGTGCTCTTCTGTTTGAAGTCAGCAGGTGAATAATACACACTGCAGTCTCCTGTCTGAACTGAGGAACTGCAGTTGCCAGCACACTCTCCCCTTCCCTTGCAAGTAACATGGAGTAACAAGGAGGGGTTACGGCCCTATGCTCTGGCCAGCTTCCACTTGGGATAATTACATCCTGCTTGCGTCTATCCCCATTGCAGATTAAATGAGGCACAGGGCACAGTTCACTTCCCACCAGATCTTGCCATGTGGTTTGCTGGGTGGTTAAGATACAGTTCAGCAAGAAGATGGTGAACAGCCTTTGTGCACCTGAAACGTTCTGTAGTCATTCTGGATGAAACACAGACTGTGGGCCTCTGACGGAAAACAGCATCTGAACAGACTGAGCCTAGCCTCAAGTCTTTAGGCTATGAAAAAAGAAAAACCCTTACATATGCTACCGAAACCTGATTCCAGATGAAACATGCATCACACAGACTCAATATCACACCTTAAGATCAGAAGAAAAAACATCAAAACCTGAGACAGACCTCAGTATCTAGTGATTAATTTCTCTCCCCTTATAATGGGGGACACCTCACTTAGGGAGTTGGACTCCAGCTTAGCCTAGGAGACAGGCCACTAAAGGATTTCATTGCACACCACAGCTCTGGGCTTCTGACAGCAGAAGGCTACCTATAAAGTTCTGACACCCCAGGGAATCTGAGCTGCCAGAATAGCCTGTGAGAACCCTTCTGCTTTGCACTGCTAAGACAGGAAAGGCTGAATGGAGAACCCAGAGCTCACCTCTCATGGAAGCAACATCAAAAGTTACCCCTAGCCCCCCTCTGTCAACGTCAGACACATCACCACACCAGACAAAGAGTACATTTACAAACATATTTCATCAGTGATCTACATATTCTAACTCCAGTCCCACAATTATGTGTTGTGAGCTACCAGGTAGATCACACATCGTACCTCTTACCAGCCTACTAAAAGAGCTGCTACCACTATAAATCAGCAGCAATACTTACATTATTTGTCTCCTAAAGCCTAGGAAATCAGAACACTGCAACTCAGCAAAACTAATCCAAGGGACTCCAGTATTTGCTTATTTTCTTTCATCAAGTCCATCATAAGAAAGTTGAAACACCAAGGCAAACAATCTTTGAAGTCTCTGAGCTGGGTATTCAGCCCTATGAGTCAATTCATGTCAGCTGTGCCCATCCACACTCCCTAAGGGGCAGCTGCCCTTTGGAAGCCTTAAAGGGCCTCCACAGTCTTATATATCCCCTGCATGTAATATTCTCCAACACTTAGTAGCTGTTTCTTGGCTTGTTGATGGTAATGTTCTTTGAACTCTTATCAGATATATTTATTACCATAGTTGTTCATGTTCTGGGAAGGCACAGCCTGGCTTCAGTTCAAAGGAGGACCACAAGAATGGAAAATATGCCCTGAAGGTGCTTATTTCAGGAGCCTGACTAATGCACCTTACTTGAAGAGAAGGTTGAAAAAGGCAAAGTGATGAGTGGGTGTTGATGCTCACAGCTGCAAAAGGTGTTTTGGCACAGGGCTTTTCAGTTCTGCTAGCAAGATCCAGTTTCTTGCTCCTGATCTATCAAGCAAAATATTTTTCTGAGAGGGGAACGTAATTAATCACCAGGGCATGGGGCATGAATAAACTCACCATTGTCTGAGATTTTAAAAGGAGAAATAGAAGGCAGTACTTGCATCATCTAAGTAGAGTACAGCATGTGAAGGATGTGAGTAGCAAGATCTTGAGGACTTTAACTCAATAACATATGGAAATCCTTTGTGTTTCTGCAGTCCTGTCTGTGAAGGTGGCAGTGGAAAGATGATCAAGGTCATGTTGTGATCTGAGAATACTAGAAAATGAAGTGCTGCATCTTGCTTTATTACTAGTGAATTTATTTGAATGCAGAGCAGCGTAAGAAACAGCCGTGCTCCCATTTAATTCAGAGAAATAATGCTGCATGTGCAAGAGCTTTAGGCAAAAACATCTAAATACATTTTGCCATTCTCATCTCTGCAGATCCTTTGTTCGATGTTTATTAGTACCAAACTCACATGAGGGAAAACAAAATGAAAGCACTTGTTGCTCTTTAAAAATCTCAGCTAGCTCTCATCTTCACAAGGAAGGTGGCAGGGAAGACAGCATGGTGGTGATGATGGATAGGAGGTTGTAACTGTGGATATGGAAGTCAAGGAATGACAGAAAATTAATCTGGAGGGGGAACTGATACTCTGGAGGACATGAAGAGCAGATACTCTTTATAGCCAAGGAGAATAAAAGCTTGCTTTTTCTGGAAGATGTGTTGCTTTGTGAAAGATTTGTGTAGGCCAGGATAAAAGTTACAGCTCAGGTACTCTCCTTCTTTCTATGGCTCCTTTCAATGGCTCTTTTTTCCTGAGCTATCAGAGTGCTTATTGTAGCTGTTTGGGGGGAATTCAGCCTGTGTGAGCAATGTAAGGAAGAAATCTTCCATTATGTTCTATGATTCTGTGTTCCTTATAAAAGCAGAAGGTTTAATTAACAATTTCCATACTACAAACTGCTTAAATATTATGTGGGGTTTGGTATTTTTTTGACACTCCTTATAGCATTCACAAATACACTTGACTACCTCATACTATCCAAACACTGTTCCTTCAGTGTTCCCTTTGAAGAAGAATGAAGATGAGACTTTCTGGCCAGCCCAGGTCAGCTTGTTTCATACACTCAAAAGGGTGCAGCTCAGCTAAAAATGTGTGACAGTCCTAAAACCAGTGACGAGGAGAGGAAACAGAATAGGACTTTACCTGGTCTCACCTGGTGTCAGCCCTGTGTGAGAATGGCTGCCTCTGAGCAGGGAGCTGCCCTGTGCAGAGGGATGGATAGGGCCAGGCTGCTCGGCAGTTCTTCTTTGCCTCCTGTTTCCCAACAGTGAAGGAAGCACTGGCTTTTCCTTTGGAGAAGGAGTGTCTTCCCTATGGACTTTATGACAGACTCTGCTCTGTTCCTTGTCTTCTCTGAGCTCTTCTTTGGGACCTCAGTTCCCAGCCTTCTTCAGCCCTGCCAGTCCTGGCGTCAAGCCCAGTTTGCAAGGACATGGGACAGGGCAAGCTGTGGTCTCAGGGCAGGCTGGTAGGAGGGAGGGAGAAGCAGGAGACGGTGCTTGTTTTGTGTTTTTGGTTTTTATTTTCAATAAATAGAAGAGAAAGAATCAACGGTCTGCCAGTAATAGGTTTGTCTCTTCCAGCTGAACTCAGCTCAGCCTCTCAGTGAAGGGCATAATTAGGTGTCCCTTTCTGTAGTTGTTCTTTTATTGTATACAATTATAACTGTAACTTAAGTGCAAAAATAAAACAAAAAGATGCTAGAAGGAGCTTTTGATTTGCAACATTTTTATTGGGAGCTGAAGCTACCCTAAGTGAGGTAAGCAGAAAAGTTTTTGTGAAGAACACGGAACTTTGCCTAGACTATACTGGGGACACAATGGCGAAATCAGGTTGAGAAAAAAAAAAGTATGCTTTTACGTATATATGCAGCAGTCACACAATCAGTACTATGGCAAGGAGGCGTGTACTGCACTGGATCAAAGGGGAAGAGCCTAGCATGAGATTAAAGGGGGGATAATTGCAAGCAACCAGAAAGTTTTATAATAGAGGTGATAATAATATACAGCAGGGGAAGGAAGCTGCAAGGAATAGAAATGAGGATAAAATGCAAATACAAAGATCCTTTGATCCTTCTGCGTTTCTGTCTATATAGCAGAACTATTTTATCACCCACTTACCTAATTTCCCTTCCACTTTCATCTTGCTTTCCTCTGACAGCTTTCTAGTTCCCCTGTCCTGACACTATATTGTGTCTGCCTCCCTCCACATGTCTTGGAGCAGTGCAGGATGCATCTTTATCAAGTGCCAATTCTAAATATGAAACATCTTCAGTGAGAAACGGTACTTCTCATTTTGCTGCTGACTCTGGGAAGCAGCAGAGCTGGCAGAGGGAGGAGCTCTGAGAACCATCCCCATAGTGAGCCACATGGTGCAAGTTCAGCCTGAAATGCCAGAACTCCTGAGCATTTCTGGGACAAAATGTAAACATTTAAAGGAAAGAGAACCCAAGGAAGCAGCAGCCTGGGAGTGGAATTTTGCAGATAGTTTTGGAAATTCCTTATTTTTACCAAAGCTGCAGAAGTAAAAAAAAATATTTCCTTCCTCCTTCCTTCCTTCCCTTACTCTGCATCCTGTTTGGTTTCACAGGTCAAGAGGTCTGTGACCAGAAGGAAGGAAACAGCCCTTTCTAAAGAGGACATTATGTGAGTCCCCTAACAGAAACCCCTGCACCACAGCACTTCAGAGAGCCTGGCCAATCGAAGCTAAAAGCTCAGGCTAAACTTGCTTATGTGAGTCACCACTTTACTAACTTCTTACCTCAGGCATGATGGGAAGTAACAGTGGTGATACTAATTTACATGAGAGCAAGAAACCTGCAAGCAATATAAAAGGGGAAAAATAGAGCCAGTTTCTGCTCTAAGATGGCTAGAAGGTGTGTTGATGGCCTAAAAAGGACTGAAAAGCATGCCTGGCAGTGATTTCTGGGGGTGGCTGCTCCCAGCTCACTCTGAGGGGGTGAGATTTCAAAGCCCAGGAGCTTCAGCTAGAAGGACGCCAGTGTTTGTGTTTGAGTAGCAGCTCCAGCTGTGTGGGAAGATGAAGGCATCCTCACTTCACTCCCATTTCTGAGGGTGCACAAGGAAGGCCTGCTTTGTGAATAGTGCTTCTTCCGATGACACTGAAAGGGCAAGGCTGCAGGAATTAAATTGTTCTCTCTTGTGAGGTAAGGCTCAAAGTGTCCTTTATATTGAATGCTTGTACATGAATGTTAGTGAAAGCCTTGCTGCTCTCAGGGTAGGGGGATGCCCCATATCGGCTGGAGAGTAATGATCAGGTCTAGTGAGACAGTGCAACAGTACAAAAGGGTGCCTCCTGCAGGCAGCTGGCCTTCAGAGTGCTGTAAGTGGTTAATCCTGACCCTCAGGTCAGATTTGAAGGGAGTATGTGTGTGTGCGCGTGTGTGGGCGCTCTCTGGGGTGAGCTGTCTGTGTTCGCCGGGTACCCAGCCTGGGTCTGATGGGAATACCAGTTTATCGGTATTTCTCCTACCTCGTCCTGGTGTTGACGTTTGCCACCGATTTTTAGCCACTGCAGATTCATTGCGTACCACAAGAGGTCAGCACTGGATAAATTTGCGCCCCCAGTGACTGGTCTGAAATTTTTTTTCAGATCCCGAGAATGTGCAGTTCCTGTTTCAGTGAAACTGTTGAGCGCCGAGTTCCTTTCAGTAACACTTGTATGTAATACAGTTTTATTTTGCACCCATTTTTTATTTTGTCTCTCCTAAAAAGGATGATTTTCTAGTTATTTTCCCTTTTGCTACATGTTCTTATTTTGAAAATTAACTCTGTGAAAAGGGTCTCTAAACCATGTACACGCACACACACATTATTATACCTGTATTATATATATTTTTTATATATATATAAATGAAAAATGCTACTTGTATTATTATGAAGGAAAGCTAAAAAGCCTGCAAAGCTAACAGTCTGGGCGGGGGGGTAAGTCAGCTGCTTCTAGCCAAAATGAAATGTTCACGTATTACTGAAAAATACTGAAGTTACTGTTTGGTGGGCTTAAACCATGACAACCAGTGCTCTGTAGAGCCAGGTTAAGATACTTGGAGCTATGCCATAAGGCTGGGTAAAAACAAGCTTCCTTGTTTAAGCCCGTCCTTGGTAATGGTGCCTCCTTTCTCCCCATCCATACGTTTTGTTTTGTTTTTACAAGTTGGCAAAAAATTGTAAGAATCATAGAACAGTTTGGGTTGGAAAGGACCTTGAGATTATCTACTTTCAAGCCCCGTGCCGTGGGCAGGGACACCTCACACTAGACCATGTCCCCCAAGGCAATGAAATCTTGTTTCAGAGCAAGCTGCTGTGCTAAGGTGACCACGAAGACCACAAAGATGAGAAAAAGAGTAAGGAGAAATTTTCTTGTCATTTGCCTTGCTGGGCTTAAACCATGACACCTGCATTGAAACGACAGTGTTTGAAAACTCTGCTCCTTCCCACAAAATTGTAGACAAAAAAACCCTGCATCTGTTCGTGGTGATATCATCTGTGGATAAAGCAGGAAAATATAATTCAGGAAGGTACAAGTTCTTTCTCTCTCTTCTCCAAAGCTAAATTTAGAACACAAATCTTAGCAAAATGTTTGCTTTGTATTTTGTTAGCCAAAAAGAGAACTGTAGCACAGTCTTCAAACCAGCGTGGCAATTTTTATAACCTAAATATTTGTCTTGGCACAATAAAGAGTGGGTGGGAAAGTGAGAAAAAAAATGGCAGTTTAAGCAAATAAATTAGAAAATAATGCGTTCAATTAAAGGCACTAATATAATGCTATTGTTCTCTAAGTGGTATTTTCATTGCTAAAAAGTTGCTTTTGGTGTCCCAGGTTTCCACTAGGACCTCACAGAAGAAGTAAGATTGTAACAAAATGATTTTTTAACCCCACATTTGGAGAACAGCTTTCAAAGGTGGTGGCATAAAACAAGACAATGGCAGCATCTGAAATAAAAAATGCACAAGACATTTCAACAAAATATGTTTTCTTGCAGCTAAGAGTATTTGAAACCCAAATTTGAATTTAGTGAATTATTTTAGATGAAAGAAATGAGGTAGAGGAAGTTACTGATGCAGGCAGGGAAGGAATAATTCTGTCCCAACATTTTCTAATGGAAGGACGTGAAGGTGACAAATGTTTCTAAACCAAATGTGCCTAAGGTAGTCACTCTTAAAACTGTTTAGAACTGGCTCAGGAAGACAAAGCCTGGAGAGCAGAGTGTAGGGGTTGAATGTTGAGGTAAAATGAAATCTCTTTTCTGTAATGTACAAAAGTAGAAAACATGTTTGCATAAAGGGAACTTTAATGGCCTGTCTGCCTGTCTTCAGAAAGATCAACTAAACAGATTATCATCTCTGTAAGTGGCATTTCAGTAGTGGAATTTAATCTGAAATACCACAAAACACTTCCCTGCTAATTACATGAGTTTGGATTGCTTCCTTTTTAGATCTGGAGGAACTGGCCATAAGATTACCTAATCTAATGATGCAGGTCATCAGCCATTGGAATAATCTGCCTAGGGAAGTGGTGGGTTCCCCAGCACTTGACACTTTTAAGACTCACTGGATAGGGAGCTGGGACATCTAGTCTAGGCCATGCTTTGCCTAGAATGGTTTGACCAGATGATTCTTGAGGTCCGTTTTAACCTTGTACTCTATCATTCTATGAAGCCAGACAGCTCTGGGTACCTGCCTGGCAGGAGTGGGGCTATGAAGACAACAGACTCCTCTAAGAGAAGCTACAAGGAGTGCTGCCCACTCCAGCAGCACCTGGGATCTGCTTCATCCAATGCATGTTCAGGAAGGGGCTGTTTGGACAAGCCTGGCTGTTGGTGACAATACATGTTGTGGGCAGCAAGGCAGGGTCTTTGCCTGAACTGTTTTGCCTCTGGCTTAGAGAACAGATTAGTTTAGAGATCTTCCTTACCAGAGAAGGATGACAGAGTATGCATGTGTGTGGTGAGGAGGTGTTGCCTGAAGGGAGGAAAATGCAAACAGAAGAGTGATTAAACCACTCATTAAATTTAATAGCCTTGCTATTTATATTGGAGTTGGCTTTGCAGCAGTGGGTAGGAACGCATTAAACAAAGGAAAATCTAAATATGACTTAACAAAGCTAGAAAGGGAGTTGAGAACTTGGACAGAAATGGTAGTAGTTTATACTTTTTATTCTTTTTTTTAAGAAACTACTCCCTCTTTCAGGAATGTCTCTCCAGCTTGCAAGTTTAAAGCAGTAGCTTCATGAGCTACTCATACCATGAGAAAGGTATATGGAGTTCAAATGAAGCTTTGCTTATCGGGAGTGTTCCTTGTCGTGCACAGGAAGGTGGCTGTTCCTCCTCTGCCAGGCAGGAGCAGAACAGGAAAAGCATTGTTAGCTTGATGCATCAGAAGATGCAGTTCTATAGCATGAACCTGGGAGTGGGAAACCACAGTCACTAGCTAAAGGCTGTACTTCACATTCACAGGGCCAAAACTTAAAAAACAAGGGCCGTGTTCCTGTCTTGTGTGTCTCAGCTCATGCTACGGTGTCCAAATATATGCCTTAGGAAAGGAGCTCAGTGTTGTTTGTAATGAAGTCGATGCAAAGGCTAACACTGACTGGAGCTAGTCCTTGGTTGATGCACTGACATTTGTGGTTACAGAAGAACTAAAGTTCACATAAACAAGTAGAAAAAGCTATACACAAGGGTTTTATTACAGGAATAATTTGACATACTCTGCGGTAGTCGGAAACAAGTGTATTTAATTAATGTTTTGTGGACATCATAACAGTCGGAGTATTTCAGCTGAACAGTCAGTATTTGGCTGAATTCAAGCCAGTGCAAATTATGACATAACCATACACAGGAAGTTACAGGTCTACAATGAGGTTAGACTAGATAGCAACAGCATATTTATTGTCACATCAAAGCATTACAAAGTATGAAAGCCCAATATTTCAACTATCATCTCTAAAATGGTATTTGTACAAACCTGTTGTAGATACCTAAATGTAAGGATTCAGCGCATTGGTAATGGATCATGATTTTATTTTGGGGAGTTATTTCAATAACCAAAACTATTTGGGGTAACAAGAAGAAATGTAAACATCTCATGGTACTTTGAAAGTCCCTTCTGAGAAAATACAACGTGTGCCACAGGAAAAGTGCATTCTAACCGGTGTGTCTGCTATGGCCAGTTTGACTCAAATTCACATAGCACCAGGTATTTATCCATTTCTGCAGTAAAAAGTTAGAAAATCTTTGTATTAACTCAGAAAAGAGAAAACAAAGTCAAAAGGTTTTCTTCTTCTTTCTTTAGAGGAACAAGAATTAAATAAAAAAAAACAACCCCACCCAACATTTAAACAGTTATCTCCTATGTACAAAGGAACCAACAGCTAGCAAAGCGCATAGCCACTGAACAGTCTTTATCTTTTTTCTTCAGATTCATGTATCTGAATATGTGAGTTTATTTACAGGTGGACAGGTATCCACAGAAGTAATAATCAGAATACTTCTATTTGGCTAAAAGTTGTATAAAAAAAGACAAAATGCTTTTTCCAAATACTTTCCAAATATATATATATATTAAAAGTATTCAGTATTTCCATCAGTGCCAGAGTTGGAAGCTCCCTCTTATTTTAGAAAGTTAACCTTGTGATAGGAAGGGACAGCAGAGAACTGGCAGTTGCAGTCCAAGCTTTGATTTGAAGGACTGCAGCTGGAGCTACACTGAGCGCACTGGACAGTTGCAGAGAAATGGAAAGTGTCTTTCTGTTGCTGTTATTTGTTATATTGTTTCTGGTGCATCCTGGTACCAGAGATGTGTCAGCTCCAGAGAGCCTCCTGGACCAGTCTGAGCATCCCTACAGCCACCTCTGCCCAACCCTCCTGGGCAGGGCCCCCACTGACAGAAGCAGTCATGTCTATGGGAGATGCAGAAGCTGACAAACCCAAAGCCCTGCCCTCAAGCATTGTTTTCAAGTCACTGAGTTCCTGGATGGTGTGGTCAGGGCCCTGCAAGGAGTATGTTTTTCTATTGAGCAACATACAAAAAGCACTGAATTCTTTGAAAAGGACAGTGTTTAAAAAAAACCAACCCAAACCCCTCTGAAGTAGTAGAAATATTCTTTACACAAATGAACATCTAGCATGGGCAGGTAGTTCAATGAAGGGGAAAACATAATTTCCACTCTAATTCCTGTAAAGAATATAAAGTGGAAGCCTTAGCCTATCAAATACAGATACATACTGCAAAAATATTTTTCAATTAAACACAACCTAGAACAGTGCACATCTCTGGATAGATAAGAATACTACTGCCTTCAGACTGGTATCAAACGTTTAAACAGTTTGCATATAAACAGAATCTTTCTTTGTTGTTCTCTCCAGGCTTGCTTTACTCTAAAGCAAGGATATTCTTAATACTTCCAATTTTCTTTCTTGCCATAGGATAAGCTGTAAGAAACACACTTCATTAACTGACCAGGCTGGGTTGATGTACAGTACAGCAACAACCCAAAGTTTAAGTAAGAATGTCACATGCAATACCTTTTTCATTAATTTAATTGCACAGACTACAAGAACAAGATACCCATTTTCCATCTTTCCTACTCTCTTCCAACAGATGTTACACTAAAAACAAGGTCTGATCTTTTGTCTCTTACACATCCCAGCCCTGGAGTCCAGTCAATGATTAGGATGAAGGATTGGGTGTTTTGAGCATAACATCATCTGGGGCATCAGGTCTCAGCCGTGAGTCTACAACCCCTAAGGAGTCATCCACACATCCTAAGTGGTGTGCTGCAGAGCACTGTGGAGGAGTGGTGGCAAGAACAAACCTGGGCTGGTAGGGTGGCTGAAAAGGTTCTTTTAAGGGGGAGGATCATGGCTGCAAGCCCTATTTGCAGTGGCCACCTCCTTGGCATAGCTTGTTCTAGTGTTGCTGCGGACTCTTACTGACCCTGTGTGAGAGAGCAGCTCCTGGTCCCGCACTTCTGCCCAAGCATGCAAGACACTGAGCAGAAGTGCAAGAGATGCTGGTGCTGAATAAGCACAGGTAACCCATCCCTCTGCTTGGATATGCTGGGCCTGGGATTCCAGACTGGTTCCCCAGAGCATGCCAGACCCCTGCTTGGCCACAAGCCCCCTGCCACTCTGCTCCTGATGAGCTGTAGCTCAGCACACCTCTGTCCTGCACCTCAGGCTTTTGGAGAGCAGAAACAAGACAGGAGACAAACATTCGCTAAAAGAGATAGGAGCACCTTCAGCTCCTGAAGTTTGGCGATTACTAACCTAGGGGAAGAGGTTGGAGTTGAACTGATTCAAGGTACAGTATGTACCTGTATGAAAATGCATAGTTCGCACATATACATTCATTTACAAAGATCAAGGGAAAGTTCTTTGCTATGTAGTTTTATCAGCATTTGCTTTCAACAAAAATTGCAACCTGAAAAAGCTACAGGAGACCAGTTAAGCACACAGCCTAGGAGTTAATGGTAGCTGAATGGCATTTCCCAAATAAAGCATTAGCTTCTTTTTCTTCTTACTTTTTTTGAGCTAATTTTAAGTAGTTTTTCATTCAAAGACTGTTGTTTCTGTAATAACGTGTAATAGATCTGGGGATTTTGAGAGATTCCAATTTAACTGTGGTCATCTGAGGTACTGGCATACCCCATTCTGAGGTTTATTACCAAGCACAAGCCCTGTAAGACAAAGAAGCAAACCAACAGAAATCTGCTTTTAACTATGGTGTGTGAGCTACATTAAAGCACGATTCTTCTAAAATGCTGAATTCTAGTTCAGAGGCGAAGAGTGATTTTTGGCATTTTTTGGCAATCGCTGTGCTAGAAGATCTTACGAGTTTGCTCACTTTTTCTTTCAGTTAACACTTTGGAACCTAGCTGCTTCCCTTGAGGAATGTCTATTGTCCTGAGCATCCCGGAATGTACAACAGTAACATACCAGGCAGGATTGGCTTAAAGACAAGGAGAAAACCTTGGTTTAAATGATCTACCTTAATCTTGTTTTCCATTTGTGTTTTTTTTTCTGAAGAAACCTGCTTTCGCGCTTGCTATGCTTACTAAAACACAGTGATTTGCTCCTAAAGGTAACTTCCACAAAGATCACTGTTTTTACTAATCAAGATGTTCTAGAAATATTTAATTCAGCAATGAATCGACTTTGTTCATGATACTTCATGTTTCTTCATGTTCTCAACTTTTACTTAGGAAAAAAAGTGGTTAAAACACTTACTAGATTACTTAAAATTCTTCCTTGCAATTGTTATTCAACCATATCTATGAAAATTGCATAAAAGCATTTTTGAAGCTAGAAAAAATAATCAGATAATCAGGAATTGCACGGAGGAGTAAATTCATCAAAGCCTATTTTTCAATCTACGCGAAGAAACATTGCCTGTAGCTAGTGACCTGATCATTCACTGGGAAATGAAACAGCAGAAAAGATTCTTTCCCTACAAGCAATGGAGATTAGAAGTGCAAGAGGACAAGATTTGCTCATTCTAAAACCCAGTAAATAGAAACAAACTATTACCGAAGTGAATGAGCTTGGGGAACATGGTCTAGTGTGAGGTGTCCCTGCCCATGCCAGGGGGTTGGAACTAGATGATCTTAAGGTCCTTTCCAACCCTAACTATTCTATGAGTCTATGAATAACTTGGATAACTCGAGGAAAAAAGTATTCCTTCTTGGTTCTTACAAGTAACTCTGTCCAAAGCTGGTTTAGTGCATTAATCAAACTCAGGAGCAAGTGCTTAGCAAATTAGTAATTCAGTAGTCTTTCTTCAACATCTCAAGTGCAAGCACATTCTTCTCAGTATTTTCACTCAGTTCTTTTCATAGACTTTTAGGCATTAACATTCACATTGCTAATTTTGCAAATATTTCTAAGAAAAACATTCAGAATGTTTGGAGCATCATGACTTCTACTGAGAATGACTCCCTGCATGGCTGAAGTCTGTTGGAAGTGCTTTTGGTTCAGCAGGCAGAATTGACTTGGATGCAGACACAAAGATTTTAACACCATTTTCATATAAAGGAACAGCAACAGGAAATTTTGGAGAGCCCAAGTCTCTATGTTCTTGGTCTAGCACAAGAACATTTTCAGTAGCAATAGGTTGCAGAGGCTTTTTTATGAGTTATGGCCATGGTTCTCTGAACTTTTAGAGTTCTCCCCAGCTGCAGCTGCTACAGGGAGACAGTGAGAATTTAACAAAAGGCTGCAGAATGGCATTTTTATTGTGGTTTGTTATCTTAAGGAAAAAGAAAAAGCACCTGCTTCTAAGAAACAGATTTTTTTGCTATGTGCAAGTCACTGGCAGTGGAAGTACCTTATCTAAATCTGCTGCGCTGACCCACAGATGCCCCCAGAGGGCAGAATCAAATCAGATTGTGATCATGTAGAAGTCTTTTTTAAGCTTTCCTTCAAACATACATGAAAATAGGGAAACTAGTTGGGCAACAGATCTGTTATTTGTGCTGCCTGATGGGTTGCCATCTTGGAGTAGGCCTGTCACTGCTCTTGCTCCTCCAGCTCAAACTGAGTATTCAGAGACACTCTGTGCTTAGGGCAAAGCTTTTAAGCTTCGTTTTTCCACACTTACAAGACCTGAGCAGTGTTGTGCAGCACTCAGTTCTGTGGTAGGTTGTATAGGTGACATTAACCTACAATTTATCTTCAGCACAGGTATCCCAGTGCCCACTAATGCCAAGCACGAAGCTTGCATGTCACTTGGCGGTGCACTTGCCATGTTCCAGAGTCTCCTGTTACTCCCTAAAAGGACACCACCGCTTTACAACATGCAGAAATACCCAGATCTTGCCCATTTTTGTAGGCAAAAACTGTAGCTTGATTAAAATTAGCAGGATGATCTACTTGCAGCTCAAGGTGAGACAGTAATCATGCTACTGGAGCAGAGGTTAGCTTTTAGTTTTATGTAGAAATGTAAAAAGCAGGATGTCTGAAAGCCTCTTTAAAAGGCTGCGGGAGGTGGCTGACAAAGCGCTTTTGAAAGGGTTTCACATCATGGTGTCGAGAACTTCAGAGCTGTGTGTGGTCTGTGCACACACACACATCAGCCTGGGAGAAGAGAGCCCATGAAGAAAGTGAGAGTCTCACCATCTCTCTCTTCTTTCACTACTGTATGCTTTGTTTTCCAGTCACTGCAGACTTCCATCTTCCCAGGTATGATTTGGAATAAAGAGTTTGGACAAAGTAAAAGTAAAACAGGTCTTTATTTTTCAGTATGCTCCACAAGATTTAAATGAATTTTGTACTGGGATAGAGTAGCTGTTCTTTGTTTAAATACTTTTAACTGGCATCTAAAAATTCTTAAGCTAAACTACATGCCGTTGTATTAGGGCTGCAAGTTTAACACCAAAATCAGAGAGAAGGTAAGTAAGCTCTTCATTAGCACATTTAGGAACAAGAAGATTGTCTTTATGACACTGGCTCCCATAATTAGAGGGGATGAAGGCAGGAAAAAAACAAATGGAAGTACTATTGTCACCCTGGAAACACATCTGTAATCACAAGAGTTTGGAGAGCTACTGCTTATAGCAGGGAAATACATACTCCCATTTGACTTCAGGTAGTGTCTTGTATGAATTCAGTCCCTCCAGGGACAAGGGGCTTATCAGACTGCCCACTAGACAGCTCTGCACTAGCCTGGTGGAAAATACTATTTCTTCAGCAATTAGGTTAATCCAATTTCAACTTTTCTGTAACCTCTTTTCATTTGAACCTGGTTTATTAAATAGTTTTATAATTCTTTAATCTAGATCAGACTAATTTTGTTAAGACCCGTATCAGTTAAACTAATGCAAATAAGCAGATCCAATGTCTAGAACTTTGTCTTCTGCTTACTTACATTCCATTTTAAACCATACTATCCATTAATGTATTAAATTTACCAAACGGTAAATAATTACAGAAGCTATAGTATTTCAACATATCACTAAAAACATCTCTGACCTAAATAGTTTATTTGCCGTATTTTATGGAACTTGCATGTTTATAAAAACATCTTCGTTTCATGGTTAATTTCTAGTTAAAACTAGATTAACAAAAGCCCAACAAGTGAAAAGAATACATAAAGTGCAATGCAGAGCAAATAAAAGTACAGTAATTTTACACTGAGTGAAAGAGAAATGCTCTGGTTCCAAAAATAATAATTCAGAAAAAAAAAAATTAAAAAAAGAACTTACATTTACTTTATGTTCTCTAAAACCATATTTGATAGGAAACAAAGGAAGAACAATGTATGTGGGCACTTATTTCCCTTTTGTGACTCAAGTGAGATGGAAGGGTGTACGGCTCTAAGTACTGCAGTCTTAGTCGGTAGTGCTTACTCGCACTTCGCAAACAGAGTGTATTAGAAATCCCATATTAATAAAAACTGGGCAACTAGCCAGCAGCTGCTTAACTAGTGTTAAATTCACCCCCTTCTGTGATGGAAATACTTTTCTTATATGAAACAGTATGACTAGCAGAGGAGAAGAAAACGTACTTACTTTCTTCACAGAGTTTAACAAAACATAGTGCAACTGATGCTGGCAGTTACCTTCCTTCAGTTAACTGATGAGCCTTTACCTTTTCCCAGCAGTCCCATCACCATTACACTGATCCTATAATAAAGAGAGGCTGGAAAACTGCACTAGCAAAGCAGCTGAGGATCTTTCCTACTTGCCATTATGTCTGGGTAAGAAGTACACCCTGGTTTTCTGTGGCCCACAGATCTTGCACAGGTATCACATTCCCCAGTAAACCTTGCATGGCCTGAGACTACCCTGAATAACATCAAGTTGGCTCCAGGACACTCCTGGACCAGGGAGGAACACGGCCCAGTAAGATTGCTTTTCATGTCCCTTAACTCTTCCAGTATCTGCTTAGCAAAACCATGGCACAGTTAACAGTCTTAAGACTCACTGCACGTAGGATTATTGATCTAACTCTCCCCCCACCACCTCCAAGACTCCGTATCAAAATCGGTGCTGTTTTTATGGTACTCTATTAGTGCTAAGCAACCATGTGTTAGTGGAGCTCTCCTGAGCTAAATACTGGAAGAGTATGAGCAAGTCCAGGCCCTTAATGAGACTCCAGCCAAGACAGAGTGAGATAAAGGCAGTATTGTCATGTCTACCACATGAAGAGCAGAGGTACCAACCCAACAAGCCATATCCTGATGTAGCCTTTAGGCATTTTATACAGACCTACACTTTTAGGAGTGGTTCAAGCTAGCATATCCCAGGATATTTCTCTCTAGAAATGTCTCTGCCAGGGTAGAACAGCTCTTTCAACAGTAGCACAAGCTTATGCCAACTTAATCTGCTGTGGAACTACAGTTGTTAGGCGAAATGTAGAGATAAAATCTAAAATAATATGGCCTAAACTCCATGACTAACAAAGATGATGTCTGGTTCCTTGCAAATGCAGGGGTTGCTAGTGCTGTGTTAGCAATGCCATTGGGAAATCATGGGGCAATGCCCCCTTTACAAAAGTCTACTAATAAAACACTTGTTTAGGAAGTGGAGGAGTTGCGAAAGAGCTGGAAATAGCTTCCTTTAGCTGAGGGTCAAACTCATTGGCCTGGTGTAGGGCTCTTTAGGGTTCCAGTAAATCTTGGGGAAAAAGCTAAGGTTATGGGGGTCTGAAGAGCCCATACAGGAGCGTGCTCCCACCAGCTGATCAGGGAGCTGCAGCATGGCTCTGGAAGGAGGGAAACCACCACTTCTGGTTTCAGCTCTGGCAATACTGTAATTTATTTAGTGACCTTCTATAACATAAAAGTCCTCCAAAAGTTTTATTTTAAGCTCTGAAAGAAAGAGTATTCTTCAAAAGAGCATTCTGCACTGTGGGTCATGAATGAATGCAGACAACCACTTCCCTCAGGCTGGACATAACACGTGCAGCACTTGCTCCAGCTGACAGCAAATGATCATGGTAGTGACTCACTTCACAACAGGTTTGCTATACTGGATCCCATCCCAAGAATCCTCCTTCTCCCTGGGCCTGCTATCAGTAGGGTAGATTACAGGCTGAATACCATGTACTTAACAGCTCTTAAATCTGTCACAAAGTGACACATCCAAAGTACTGCTGCTTTGGTACTGCTAGAAACTGGGCCAACATCTTCCAACCGCACCACCAATGTGCCTGGGTGCCTATCCATCCCTCTCACAAAGCCTATCAGCAAAATCCTCTTCTCAAGCACTCACACTCTCAATTACAGTAGAAATAGTCACATGGAGGAAAACCCACGTGCTTTTGTTCTATACCCCTTACCCGTATGAGCAGTCCTAGTCACTGCAGTTATTTACAGAAGTAATTGCATCTCTCTTGAGGAAATCTGCAATGCTTCGAGGGCCCAGCTAGTTATACCACTATCTGCATTTTGCTCTTAACTGCGTAACAAGACTTTTCATCAGGCTTGTAATAAAAAAAAAACCAAAACAACAAACCAAAAAACTTCTGCAACTGACTGCTTAAGACTAGTTTCCTCCTACTGGGATCTGATTCTGAGCAGTTCTGTTTCAAGTCTTACCTGACTGGCTCAAGCCTCTTTCAACTGATGTCCCTGAATTTGAGCCTGTCCTTTCAGCCTTTGCTGTAAGTCAGTCAAACAGCGAAACAACCAAAGAACTTTTGTCTAACAGATGAGATTATTTCTGCCTTTTAGTTAATTCTGGACTTTAAGACAGAACAATAACAGCAATGGAAAAATGGCATGTCTGTCATTATTTAACAGCAAAAAAAAAAGGTGTATGATAGCAAGATACACCATACTTGGCAACTTGTATTCTGCTGATCCCATGGTGCAGATGGAGAGAAAAAATGTAAGTGGAGCTTTTAGTTTGATTGTTGAAACCCTTTTCATAACTGAACTACAAACCTTTAATGTAATTTTTTCCTGTATAACCTCCTTGATGTTACATACTTCTATGTAGGTATATAAGCTACATAAACTTGCATGAACTCTCCATATAAGATGGAGCCGATCATGTTGTATGATCCCATTCAGGCTGTATACTGTGATGAAGGAATCTCTCTATTTTAAAAGTTATTTTCAAAAGAATACAATTTCAAGCCAAGCAATCCCAAATCCTGTTTCATGGTGTATAAAATGGTTATAAAATTATACCAGCATTATAATTTCAGAGAGGTAATAAGATCCCAGTGCTATAAAAGTCAGTTTTAAAAGAGTGCACATTTTGAAGTGTTGTACAGACACACACGACTTGTTTCCATAATTTAGCCCTTTGTAAGTATTGCACCTTGTTAATAAGGCTACCATCTATTTCCTTTTAACACTACAAATTACACAGACAACATCATCTGTGGCTTAAAAGCACAGCATTTCTAAAGCTTTTAGGGAAACATGTATTTCCTTGCACACTCAGAGCTCCGATGACTCCAGTTGCCTGGAGGAGTGTTGAGCGTACAGGGAATACAGATGGAACTATATACATTTATGTAACGTGACCTGCTTGTCATGTGCTGGTTTTTTTGACATGCTCAAATTAGTTCCTTTGAACTTGATGGCAAATGGACACCGTTTACAAACCTAGGCAATGCTTTCACATGCTCAAGTGTATGGTTAAACCTGTCTTCATTCTCTCTTTCCCTCTGCAATGCAAGAAATCATTAGAAAACAAAATTCTCTATATTTGTCTGGTCTCTAAATACAAGATAAATTGCATAAAAGCAGAGAAAGATAGATTGTCTTACAAAGTGCATATTTCAAACAAAGCTATAAGAGTATGTGCTCTTGCCAAAAGCCTGGTTTAAGAAGAGCATACAAATGTGTGCCTAACTTTAGAAACACACGTAGTCTCATCAACGGAGAACTCACACATAGAGTTAAACCCCTACTTGAGTGCTCTGATCTATGTGAGCCTACATTTTACTGCTGGAATACCAGTAGCTTTACCTCTGCACAGCCAAACCTGCTGGTTTATAGGTTAGGTGCTCCCCTTCCCTGAAAGATGTGTTGGCTTCACTGCAAGAATTAATTACTACAGCTAAATACTGATACTACAAATTCTGATGCCAGGTGCTATTTACACTTTTAGGTCCTAATATTGAAGATCCTCATTTTCATTCACTTCAGTATAAATATCTGGGAATTTGCAGAATGGAGTCCCTGGATACAGGAGAAAGAGTTGACAGGAAAAATTATTATGGACCCAAAGTAATTTCTTTGTATACAAAGAAAGAAAAAAATGAGAATTTGCATATGTATTCCTTCAAAGTACCAGTTAACAGGGTTTAATAAAATCTTAGGTTTCCTGAAGCTGATACCTTTGCAGATATGATAAAAACCTACCAAACCCATGGTGCCACATTTTTTTTTAATTCCATGTAGAATGAGCACTTTGCAAAGTGGGTACTCAGCACCTCCAGGATATCATGCTAAAGTAGTATTTTTTTGCTTGCTGAAGTAATTTGGTATGAAGTATACAATTATATAGACACAATTACAGACAAAGTATCCTTTGACCAAGCAGCTATATAAACAAGAAGCCTTCATATTTACAGTAGATTTCCTAAAAGATTTATACAAATGTATAGATTTACACTATAATTAGGTTATGGTTCAAGCTCACTTTCTGTATTTTTATATCATCAAACATGTTTTTTTTTTCCCTATTTGGAACATTATAAGCTGTAGCATTAAGACCTTGTTCAGTAATTACTGCTTTCTTCTAATTTCAGTAATTCAAGTAGTGACATATTGCTCTTTAATTTTGTCTAGAAAAAATGAATTTCTTAGCCATCTTCCATTCAAATAAAACTATACCCTGCCTTTACATCCCTCTTATGTTCCCTGAGGAAATCTGCATTGACTCTTTCTTTTCCTGTCTTCCAAAGGCAGTTTTTACAAGCATTTTAGTAACATCTTTTATCTGAGCATTACACATCATACACTAATTGCTGAGATAAAGACTCCAAAGTAAAACCTGATTTCTTCAAGAGGACTGGCAAATGGCAAACACCTTCTGGTGTCACTGGAAAGAGACTGATTTTCAGGGTTGTTCTGGATTCTCCTCACAGATGCAGACAAGGCCTGCTCGTATCTAGCAGACGCAGAATGTATTTAAACCCTCAGCCTGATTAATTTTTCTTGTGGCTTACTTTCTAGCTATTTTGCTAAAGGTGCCATAAAACTCTCCTGAACTTATACTAGAACAAAATCTAACCTATGATGCTTTGTAACAGTCCACAGTTATCAGTGAGAAAACCCCTGACGAATGCAGATTAAATCCCATACTCCATACAGGTCTCAGTTCCAGTGCTGCAACTGACTGCTACCACCTTACAGGAAGATCGAATAAAGTGTAAATATAAAACCAAGATGACACTTTACAAATGTTTCCTTATCAAAATATTTCTATGAAAAAGTGCAGCACAACTTTCTCCAACAGATGACCAGTGTTTGAACCAACAGAAACAAGCCTCACTTGTAACCTCTGAAGTCTCTGTACATAGCTAACAAGATTCTGATTTCATGTCCTATTTCTGAGGTGGTGTTTCAACATACTTACAGGCAGGGGAAGAAGAAACTACTTTGTATTGCCACAGTTAGAGTGATTGTCCTGAATTCCTGGCAGGGTCATTCTCACTGGTCCCAGACCATAGCAAGAGGGAGAAAACCATCCTGCCTCATTGGGTCAGAATGACTGAAAAAGTGAGTGACAAGAACATCTGGGATATTGCATGAAGCTGGAATTGTTCTTACATGCAGTTCTACAAGAACTTCTGGCCAAAGCTTTGCCTCCTGTAGTGTTGCCCACCTGGTCATTACCTTAAAAAAGTGAAGGGGAGAAGGAATGAACAAAGTGATGGTGGGGACAGTGAATGGGTGCAAGTAGTCTGGGATCATTTGACAGCTGACGCTCATACCAGGCAAATGATTTGGAAAAAACAATTCAACAGACAGGCATTCTGCTCAGCTTATTCACACCATCAGGGCATACAGGTTTGGTTTACACAACAACAGATACCCAACAGGTGACAAGTGGCATTGGTTAAAAGTCAGTGTAAACCTGCTAATTGGAATAGAAGAGCTCTTGCTCCCTTTGCATCTTGTTATATTCGTGCAAGGCACTAGAGAATCAGGCACATTGTTTTGGGTGGAAACTGTTTTATGACTGTGATGATCTGAGTTTGTAACATCCAATAGCTTCATATAGGAGCAGTTGGAGCACAGTGACATTTTAAAAATTGCCATTATAAGTTTTCACTTCTAAAATTATCTTTTTTTTCTGTATCTTTGGGGGATGGAGTAGAGGGGGAAGTGGGAAACAGCTTTGTTAAGCAAGACAACGCCTGAAGAAAAGTATTAGGGATCTGTACAGCTGATCTCCACTGATACTGATGTTGGTGATTTCTGTTACCAGCATCAATACTAGTAAGTGGTTAAAGCCAACAAAATAGATCCTGCCATTTTTTGTATTTCAGGGGGAAGCTCTGGCTCTTGACATGAACAAACCCACATCCAAATCCCTGCAGCACACAGAGGCTGTGTGATGCATTCGGGTCACTCCTCTGGGAGTTAGAGACAATCACCTACCTCCTGCAGAGAAACCACAATAGGGGAAATGGCATGTACTGATGATGACAGATGCCCACAGCATTCAGGCTAGCCCTTTCTTGGGAAAACAGAAAAATCTGACTCTTCCAGAGAGGCTGGTGCAGCAGTTTGAGATGCATGGACATTAGAAGGACAGTGACACAGCTTAGAGCAACACAGAAGCAACAGACTGAAAACCAGAAGAGCTTATTCCAAATTATGCTGGCGCTGTCAGCACAGGAAAGGCTTTGCTGACGTTTCTGTTCTCTGCTGGGTGTGTCAGGAGGGTGAAGGGGATCCTGGTGGGAGCCGCAGTGCTCGTGCAACATGAAGTAATCTGAGTTCAAGGCACGAAGCGACTGGTGAGCGCTTCATGTGGGTCCAGGTGGCCACGCTGCCTCTCTACCGCTATCCATGGTAACTGGAGAAGTGCCTGCTTTTGAATCAAAATGCCACAGCCATAAGATGCAAAACTGATTTAATATAAACTGCTGATTAAATGTTGTGTAAAAACACTGGTAACTGAGCTTTGTCCTGGCAGGATTTACCAAGTATCTTCTGTCCTCTGTTTCGTTAACACCAGCTTCCTATCGCGCTTTGACAATCTGTGGCTTTTGTGCCTCTGTGTAATCCGTATCAAATCTGTACCAGAGGGCAATCTGGTCTGGCAACAAAACCATTCTTCCGTGCAGAAATTCATAAAGAATAATCTTATTACAATAATTTGTAAAGTGCCCTCGGGAAGGTGCTCACGATGCCATGACATTACAGAAACAATATACAATTTGATACATTATTTTCCAATAAAATCTTCCAAAGCAAAAAGGGAAAATATAAAAGGAGGGGAACAACAAATATAGAGGCAAATACTGCCAGTCTAACGATAGTAAAATTAATTATGGAACACTTCATAATTAGTCTCAGAGTGCTTGTAAAAATTGAGGCGGGAGGGGGGGAAACTGGCAGGAGTATCTTGGAAAGATCCCACATTTTCTAAGTTCTACCAAAGTAGAACCATCAGTAAGCTCAGTGTTTGAAGCTGAAATGACTACAAATTACTATGAGGTATTTTACTAAGGAAATTGAAAAAAATACAACATCCAAAGAAATACCATGACCCACATTTTACTAAGAGTAAAGAAGATAATACAGTGGCTATGCATACCCACTGACCTTTAGTGTCTTGGGTTTTGTATTTATAAAGAAAACAATCTTTCTCCTCCCTGGTGATCCCATATATATATGTATATGTAACTACACAATATCTAGTTTCATATAGATATATATACTCATACACACACGCGTATATATTTCAAGGTCTTACTAGATTTCAATCTTATTTTTCTTTCTTTCTTTAATGACTTAGAGAACACATTGGGCAAAAAAACACATAACTGGGTGCATGCAAGTGTGTCTTGCCACTTGTGCATGTAAATCACACCATTTGTAAATAACTGCAGCAATAGTGTGCTCAAATGAGGCATCTGATTGCCCAATTAACTTGTTCAAAGAAAATCAGATGATAAGCTTCAGTAGCTCCTATTATAGATTTTACTTCTCAGTACTACTTCACTGAATTCACAGTGTATATTCTAAACGACTGCATTGTTGTTCTGTGCTTTTACATAGGCATAAGCAGCAATGCACACTTCATAAAGCTATCAAGTCAATTCTGGACTAGATTTTAGCTGTTTAGATACTTTGAGTCCCCTTAGAGACATCTTAGACAATTGTCTGTCTTCACAGACAGAGAAACTGAAGTACCCAGATCTCTCCAAGCCCTGCAAGTACAGAAATTTGTTAATTAGTGTATCAAGATTAGTTAAGAAATGGACTTTTTTACCATAAATACATCGCTCCTTTGCTGCTGAACTTCTATTTATGAGATGATGTTGTGGAAAGGGGGCATTTTCTTTTCTCTACCAACTTTTTGCATCAAATAAACCTTAGAAACTATAATAAGGTGAAAAAAAAAAAAAAGCTGAGCAAACCTTATCTTAACAACAATCTCTCAAATAAGAGAAAAGGAAGCAAAGAGCAGAACTGCTGGGCTGGATCATGTCCCTGAACAGGTATTACATATAATCTTAGTGGCTGCATTTACCAGTTCTTTATAGGCCTCCTGCAGGAACAGGCGCACTGGTCCAACTCTTCATCCTCCCTCAGGAATGGGGGAGCGGCAAGACAAGCTACTGGACCCCCATTTTATTCTTACAGGTTCAAGCAAGCATCCCTGGATTTCTTCTCTCAACTTCTTGTTGTGACAGTATCTGCTGGTGACTTTCCATTGCTGCTTTTCTTCGTCTAGAGTATCAAAATCCAATTTGGTACTTAAATAAGTTTGTTCCACTCCACTGATCTGTGCCTGGTTTAAGAATCTTCCAGGAGCACTGCTTGTCCTTCTTGTGAATTCAGACTTTGCTTGGCTCCCATAAACAAACAAATGAAAATCCCAACTCCTCCCCACATGCCCTTTCCAAAAATACAATATAATCATGACGATTTGTATCAGGAAAATTATTTAGCAGTCTCCAGTCTTAGTACAGCTTTTGCTGAGAAAACTGTAGCTTATAGGACTCTGAAGTGTTTATTAGAAAGCTTTCAAAAAGAGATCTTTGTTTCAGTAAAAGTGTTCAGTTTAGCAAATACAGACGTTCACGGCACAGAGACTGAAATGGTTAAAAATGATCTTAGGGAGCAAGTAGCTCATAGAGTTAGCAAAAAATTAACTTTTTCCTTTCTTTTACAGAAAAACACTAATAGCTGCTCTGGTTTCCATACTTAGATTTCTGCTTATGCTCTTGGTTTCGCTTGCCTTGTTTTTTTTCTCTATTGCTCCACACAGGTTTTGATTAGTGCTTTTCCTTGGCTACAAGTGCTTCACTTTGAAATACAAAGCTCTTTAAAAAAAACACCCCGAAAAAACAAAACCCCCAACACCACATCACTGGAGGGAAAACGGGAAGTGATACAGTGCAGCTGAGCAATCTGGTTCTGCTGTTGTCCTCCCCCATCCCAAAATCCTCTGCACAATTTCAATCTTTAGTCGATGAACCTTTGGCAGGCCTTCTTCCATCGGCAGGCAGTACACCACATATCTCTGTTCTCCATCCCATAGACCTTCCGACACTTTTTCCCCTCCCCTCTAGGCTTCCTGTCAGAGAGAAAGGGAAGCTTGTTAATGACATGCTTTTGTAGCTTTGCTTTATCACTGTAAGATCAGGACAACAATCTCAAAGGAGTACAGTAGGCAGAGAACACCCCAGCTTTTCAAAGGGATTTGGGTTTTCTTTGAGTCAAGTGGGAGCTGACGAAGCAGACAGACATACAGCCGTGACTTCGCAGCTCTGAGGGAGGAGTCCTTCTCCTCATCTGGCTTCTACAGCCTCTGAGCCTGCTCCTCTGCACCAGGGATGACCCCAGGAATGGACAGCCCTGACTTTAGCCAGAAACTAAACCCAGTCTGCATAAATGGTACTTTATCCAGGCTAAGTGCCCAGCTGTAACGGGCAGCCACAGCTATTCTACGGTACATCCTGGCCATGTCAGGCAGAAGTCACCTTTGCTGTAGAGCTGTGTTACCAGTCTTCTGCATAGTTCTGAGCAGCAGACCTTGACTACCAGCAGGTAGCAGCTATGCAGAAGAGGGCAAAAAGCTACCAGCTCCTAAGCTTGCCTGTCCTTCCTGCATTGTTTGCTCTGAGCTCACTGACTAAAAACCAACAAAGTGATCAAGAACTAGTCTTAACCTTTGCCCTCCTTAGCAGCACATTTACATGTGCTCCTCTGTTGTCCCCACTGTCAGCAAGGCAGACAGTATGCGCTTTTAGAGCTGTAATAATTGTCACGTTTTCCATCTTAAAACTGCACTCAAAAATTCACAGGTTTAGAAAATGATCAAAGTAACTGTTAAAATGGAACCTCTTTTTACTCAGCACTTAGCAAGACAGCAACTCTGAGGAGTGATGCTGCAGCAAGTAACTCACTGCTCACACCAGCAGTGCCACTGGTCCCGGTGTCCTTAAAAAGTAACTGCACAGACAGAATTGTTTTACACCCATATCACGTGCTGCATGTCACACATGGGAATTGCCTGGTGATTCCTGTCTTGCATACCTACACATTTTTTGAATACTAAACATTCGTTAATAGGTACAATCCATGAATTAGGAAGATCCTCAGTTTGGTTTGTAGCATATACAATGATCTGAGAGTGATGAAGAAAATGGAAAGCATGAAATCTTCCTTTTATTTTGTTTTAGAGTACAGTCACCTTCAAAACTGTGAGAAATAGTTTCTTTACTGTAAGAAATTTAGTGTCATGGTTTGATTTTCTTAATATGACTCTTTGAACGCTTTTAAAGCAGACTCCACTCATCAGTTAGCTTTAATGGAAGTGAATGTAGCTTATGTCTAGGAAAACAAGGTATAAGAAGCTCTGCTTTGATCTGATTTACTATAAGATATGGTTGCTTATAATTCAACTGAAGCCAAATACCAGACTGACTGAATGGTGATGAACACATGACAGCCTAGCCTTTCAGGAGAAAAAAGCAAAGCCACGTAATGCAGCCCAGGATGCTTCAGTTGGAGCAGTGAATCTGGGCAGCGTTTCTTTGCAGGGCAATTCAGATCTGCAACTGAATTCCAGACATGCTGGCATAAGGCCTGCGGTTGTGATCCACAGTCTGCCTTTTTCATTTCACAGCAACTCACTTTTCCCCTGAACTTTACCTCTGATGGGAATGAAAAGCAAAACAGGTCCAGAACGCTTAACTCTGAAGTGCTATAGTAATGAACTGCCCAACAACTGCAGTCGCAGTTGGTGGTGAGGTTTTCTGTTTCTTTGGCCATTGACATCTTATTTACTAAATGTCTTTTGGGTTCTGAGGCTGCTGGTCTGTCAGCAGGAGTTAATGGTGCCATACCTCAAGCCAAATGCTACTCTAGGCGGTGATGAAAGAACTGTGTGGGACTGTTTCTGCTCTCCACTCCCTGCAGGACGATTATGAGTTGGTGAGACCTGTCAATACAAACAAAAAAGCTGCTTACGAAGAACATACACATATGAATGCAGTATCGACACTTTTCCCAGGAAAGGCAATTCATGATGCATAGTGGCAAGGATACCCAGGAGAGGTCATTATATAACATACACACATAACTTACTGTAGGTCTATTGGGAAAGATGTTCATTTAGCACTAGGTACATTATATTAGCTCCATTGTGTTTTCCTGTTGTATCAGTCATCCTAGCAGAGCAAACCAGAATATAGATCAGCATCACTGCAGGTCTTGTCAATATGGAAAATAATATACTAATTCTTATTTAAGAACTCCGAACAGCTCTTACGAAAACTTGCTCCAATTTAAGCAGAGCAAATAAATGGAAGAATAAACTCCATCCTGTGCTGAGATCAATACCAACAACCCCTTGTGAAACAAAGGGATTTCATGTGCTGCTCCCGTCTGTGAATTGTCACTCTTTGTGGAGACAGCCTTGGGAAAGAGGATTTGCTGCAGGGCAGTTACGATGTGGCCCTCAAGGTTTTAATGGGAGCACAAGGCAGCCCTTCTGATCAAGACTGCTAGCAACACGTACTGCATTATTTCCTTTATTGTGCATTGTGAACCTCCTCAGCAGGTGTCTGTCCTCCTTTGTCAATGCTCCCGAGCAAAGGGCACAGCTTGGTCCTCTGAGACTTTCCAAATAAGCCTCCTGCATGAGCCTGGGGGTTGGCAGCATTATTCGAGTAACCACATAGCATAAAACTTGGCCTTAAATAATTCCTGAATTATTTACTGCCAGGGTCTTATTTTGCTCCTGGGTAAAGGCCACATCTAAAGCATCAGAAAAATTTATGAACACTCATTTTTTGCTGTGTACAGAACAAAAAGCTTCATTTGGGCAGCTGGTGCGTGGAGTCACTGCCTCCTGCAGCGACAGCTGCAGATACTGTCAAGAGTTACCTGCATTGCTGTGACTTCACTCCTGCCCATTTGAAGTCTCACAGTATTTGGAAGAATGAGAACTGACCTGACTTGAAGAGAGTTACTGAATGTGCTTTGATCCTTAATATAAAGCCTATTTTATAGCTACTCCACAGCAGCAAAAAGCTAGTACTCCTAACGGAGTGTGGACACTCTTTCAACTTTTACTCTTGGCTGGTAACTATAGAAATTTCTGCTGTAACTCCATGTGCAGCTCACACTGAACTAGTTTAGACCATTACTGATATATGGAATATATCTCCAAAATTTGAAAGAAATTTACTTTCTGCCTCTGCCTGCTTACCATCAGTCATGTTTTGTACATGCAGAGACCACACCAGCTCCTTCTGTCCTATCACTCCAGAATGTCGAGGGCAGCTTGTTGTCTACTGCTTTTTTCGTCTACCTTTTATCAACTTCTTCTCTTGTTTTACTGAAGAATGATTGAAATACTGAAGACAAAATGCAAAGCAGTTACACTTTTCTAGTCTTTGGCATTTACCATACCATGCAGTTTTCTAGTCATTACCAGCAACCAGAGACCTCCAGTCAATTCTTCCAGGGTTTTTTTATATCTACCACTACTAACTGATACTCAATATATTCCTTGGTTATCACTGAATAAAAAAGTACTCTGATGGCCTCCTATGTTATAACCAATTACCCTGAAAGCTTCCAAACACAGAACAGGATTGAGCAGTAATTGTAGCGTGCACACTGTGCCTCCTCTCATGCTCCAGAGAGGGTTTCTGCACAATGGTTTGCACAGATTGGCATGCCAAGGCAGCTAAACTGCACTGAAGTTGAGCTGTAGTCCATTCTGATATGCTCTGCAGCAGGTCTAAACAATACCAGGCAGATGTACTCCTTTGTAGGTGACAGCAGAGAAGATTAAGAGGAGGGTGTGAGAAGGCAACCTTTGCCCTCGGAGGCTTTTCACGTTTGAAGTGTTGTCTAACACAGAAAATTAATGTGGAATGAAAGTGTCTGTTTGAAGCAAGGACCTGGAGTTTCCAGTTACATCTCCTGGGGGAAACTGTGCTTACAGAGAAGATTTGTGATCTGTAAACATCAGGTTATGAAACTTAAAGATCTCTCCTGTTCAACCTTTTGGGGTCTTATGGGCAGGTAAAACAGTATCACACAGCAGAGATCACACTGGCATTAAAGACGACTTCCATCCTACATGACATAAAAGTGGAACTATATGGTGGTTAACTCCTCCAGTACCAAGAGATACAGAACCCACTGCCACTCATCCCACTCACATCATTTAATTCACCCTCCTTCTATATCTCCATGCTGTGCTGTATTTTTTCTTCTAGTTCAGTCTCAAGTGGTACAGCAGACATGAACTTGTCCTTACTGCTACAGAGAAGTACACCCAACAACTAATAGCTGTGCCAACATTCAACCTTCTCTTGCACCTTCAAAGTTATCTTAGGAAAATGGTAAGAAAAAGGGTATTTTCCATTTGCCTTGGGAATCTAACTTATGCATGATTCAGAGCACAAAGCATAAGGACTTTGGAGGCTCCCCTTATTCTCCTCCTTTATGACTACAAGACTTCTAGATAAATGCCTATGGTGTGAGTGGTCAGTGTCACTGAAATGAATGGGAAGACACCTACGGTAGGTGTCAAAAAAACCCCAATCAAAAAAGAAGACTATTTTGTCTGTCTTGTGGACTCAGCTTCTGACATAGAGGTCTAGAAAGAAGCCTGTTCAAAACCAGGATGCAACAGCTTTCTCAGGAATCAGGGACAGAATGGCCCCATTCCCATATCATCAATAACATCAAGAAATGTGTAGACCTATGCACTTTTGCAAATCTGTAATTAATCCTTTGCTCCTCAGTGGTTTGGCCAGGCCAAAAAAGTGTTGTAGGAAAAAAGCCACTGTAGGAAACTGCTTGAATAAATATTAAGGGTCAGGCAAAAAGTAAAAGTTTAGACTTACTCTCTGAAGTTCCTTTGGGTGCTACAGACGTGCATCTAATCTCAGGGACAACGTACATATATAACTGCATGAGTTTATAGTATGCTGGCTCTTTCACATGGTCTAGGCTTAAATGAACCTCGTAAGAGAAGGAAGAAGTCCCCTGACCTATAGCTTTCCTAAAGTAGTTACATCCAGTGTAAGGGTGGGAATTGAGAGAGACCTTTTTTTATAAAGCAATATCAAATTTACTCTGAAACAAGAAAAACAAAACTTTCATTTAATGTACAGTTATTTAACATCACCTTGCATTCGCACCCTCACATACTGCACGTGATTCTTCACTGCAGGCAAGTCTTAGTAATTCATATATAATCTCACTGATGACAGAAGAGTCAAGTGTGTGCCGACCTAGAAGGCTTTTTCTTCTTCCCCTTTTTTTTGGTAAACAGCCTATAAATGTTGTTACACAAGAGATATAAAGGCAGTTCATCGGTTCCTTGAGTGGTTTATAATGCTGCCATCACCACTGCTTCCCCAGGCTTTTGTATTGAGATTATTTTGAAATTGTACTTAAATCATTGGCATCTCCATACAGTTCTCAGAGAGTGATCTGGCATTTCTTAAATTCTTTTGAAAACTCTCAACTCTACAGCCACAGATCAAAGTTATTGCTTGAACAAGTAAACTGAACACGTAAGTGTCTAATCCTGTCCTCTTAAGAGTCTGATTTACAATGTGCCTAATTGCATTTTTAGATTCTCAACACTCCTGGTACCAATTTCTGCTACTCCACAGAAGGAGCCAGCTTCATAATTGCTCTGTATCAACCCCACTGTTGTGAAATCAAATTCTCGAGGAACTTTACGGATAGCACGCTCTGTCAAGGCACCCTTGCTGAAATTGCTGCCAGCGTGATGTCTTTTAGTGTTAGTTGCTCCTTGATGGAATTGAATAAATATTCATTGGCAGAGTGCAATGTAATTGATTCAGCCACTGTCATTTTTATCAGCCCTGCAGGGTGCCACAGCCTCTGCAGAAAATCTCCAAGGTTTGCCAAAAGTTGACAGTAAGAAGCTTTGGAGATTTACTTGGTGAAGAGAAGGGAGGGAAATAGCATCTCTTATTGCCATGTCTAATAGTCGCTGTCAGGATTAAAAAAGCTATATGGTTCTCTAGATGAGCAATGCGCTTTATATATCACACTTTAAAAATTCATAAATTCATGAAGTGTAATAGTAAATGAGATGTTATGATAGCAAAAAGGTTTTTGATTACTGAGTTTCAATTTATACTGAAAAATGCTTTCCAATAAGAATTAGGATACATTACATTAATATTTATTTCTACTCATTATACAGAAGATCTTCCACTACTCATAGTGATTTACATTTACTTTCAGTATTCACATGCTAGGCACTAGAAGGCCCAATCCCTTTGAACTCTCCATAAAGGTTTCTAACTCTCCTTACAGTATACACACCTGTATTGCATTGTTTGGGACAAGCAAACATCGTATTTCTGCAGTCCCAGTTATGAAATGAGGCTTTGTACACCAACTTTTTTGAATTTAAAAAAGAGTCAGAGCTGACTTTACCTCTAATACATGCATCTAATACATCTTCATTAGAAAGCTGTCAAACTGAAATACATATTAATATAAAAATGCAGTATGAACTGAACCTATATTATGTATAAATTTTCTGCTATCAATAGGGTTTATATATATGTAGCCTCCTAGAATCAGACTTTGCATTTCTTCTTATTCTTTCAGTTGCCTTTCAAATATGCTTCATTGTCAAGAGTTCATTGAGGTAACAGCTCTACTGCTTGAATCCAGTTGGCCTGTTAACATAACCATCACCTAGCTGACTTTACATCTAGTTTTGTAAGGAACCTTAGTGGCACAAAAAAGAACACATAGTGCCAGGCTCTGCACCTACCACAATGTTCTTTTGTCAACATACTGTTAAAAGACGAGATACCATATATCCAATTCTCTGCTTGTAGAGACCCAAATATATTTAATTGGTTTCTTTTTGGTATCTGCTATGTCAAATTTACTTTTATCATGAGGCACTGTGAAACAAAACAAAGCCTAAAAAACTTATTCTTTTAATGTCTTTCTTTTTCTGTCATTCACTTACTGGAATGCCGGTGAAGGTAACTGGAGGCGACTGCCAAGAGATGCTAAAGCTACTGCCATTGGGAGTGAATTTTGCTGACCCTGGAATGTTCACTGGAGGAGTTGCCTGTGTGGAAAGAAAATATTATTCCAGTAAGAAGAACCACTTCTCTCCCAAAGCATTTCAAGGGGTCTTTTGCTCCTTGAACCTGTAAATCTACAAGAGACTTTCCAAGGCAGAAAAAACCTGCATGGCAACAAGCATTTTACCCTTCTGAGAGGGAAAATCATGGACAAGCCAGTATGGAAAAGACATAATTACATCTTAAATTTTTTTTTACAGAAACACGATAGCTCTCAGAAGAATCCACGCACAACCCTTTAAAGCCTGATCTGATGAAAACCCATTCAAAATCAAACATCATCTACAAATAACTTAAAATAATGCCAGGTAGCATCAATAAGCAAGGCAGGGTTTAAACTGATGGCAGCCAGTTTAAACGGAAGACTGGATAGTGAGGTTTTCTGGACAACAGGGGTAATGATCAGCAGTAAGGGCTTGTTTATTAGATAAATGCAATTAAGAATCATCTCAATTAAAACAGTCTTTCCTATTAAAAACACAGAGCTAAAAATCACCCTTGGGATTCAGAAAACAGCTCTTACACAACTAAGCTAAAGTAAATACTTGACGGATGCCTGGGCCCCTTGAACAATTACGTTCTTCCCATCTGGGGTGCTCAGACTGCTGAGCATCTTTCATCTTGGGCCTTCCCTCTGGTTTTCTCACTGGGCTGTGAGCCCTCAGGAATTCTTCCCTGCCAATTTCTGAATCCCCTTTAATCTACAGAGTCAGAAAATTAATACCTTTGCAGCTACCCTGGGTAACGGTAGCAGTAGCATTAGCAGCCACCATAAACATAGCCTCCCTTTGACTCTTGAATTTCAAGCTGTCACCACAGAAAAGGCTCCTTGCTTTAAACTTCCACAGAATCCGCTCTTAAAAATGAGTTTTACTTCTGCCTTCAGGTTGCCTGTGCCTGACAATAATGCAATACACTTCAGAAGTGTTTGTGTTTGGGGCTGCTGAAATTATCTCACCACTTCAGGGAAGAGTGCTTCCCTGAGCCACCACCAGGCAGAGAGGAGTGATGACAAACCACAGCCTCCTAGTAGCCATTAAAGATAATCTTCAGAGTAAACAAGTGTTGATGCAATCCCTGCAGTCTCCCCAGGGCAGAGAAACTAAGACCACTGGATGCCTCTGTCTGTGGCAGCGATGCTCTGCAGGCTGCTGAGCCTGCTGACATCTCCAAGAGAATCCACACAGACATATGGAACAAACATCAACTGAGCTCCATAATACACAAAAACTCTGCTGAAAGGCATCAAGAAAAATCTGGCAACTCCAAATGGTACCAGTAGCGCAGTAGCGCTGCATCACAACCTTGATCAAATGGGAAGCAGTGACTGACCACAGCGCTCCCACCAGAAAGAACTGGAGGGTGCTTGGTGGACAGCGAGGTGGCACTGCCTCCGCTCATCACCCTTTGGGTTGTCAGCTCAAAGCTGTGATCAGCAAAGTGCCTTCCTCACCTATTTGAATAAGACCTGCAAGGGAAACCCTAGATGCTGGAAGAGCCCAGCTGTAGTTCCTCTGTAGCAAAATCTAACAGGTACGGGCAGTAGTTTCATAATGACACGTCAGGAAGTTTAAAACTGCCATAATTTGTTTCCTAAAATGCCATGGTGCTCAAACCTTTTGATCTGTTACCTATTGTTAAGATCACCCAGTCATGTAAGCATATCTTTGTACTGTTGACATCTCCCAAGTTTATTACAGTATTTGTGTAGTACCCAAGTGATTTAATGAAAATGAGATCAGGCACCAAAACAGCTTTTTATTCAGCTCCACTAATAACATTCAATAGCTCCTTCAAAATAACTCAGTGCTGTTCTCCCTGACTCCCCAGCTCTCTCCCCTACACTACATTTAATCTCTACCCTAAAAAATACTGCTTAGATGCTGTAAGATAAAATGCTCTCCTCAAATCCACAGGGATTTGTTCTTCTGTACTGCCTCTTTGTTGTTTACAAAGCTACCTTGTTCAAAGAAGATGTTAGACTCTTCTCGCATAATCTTTCTTTGGGGTTCCTCCATTGCAGTTCACCCCATTTGCTGTACTTTCCACATTTTCTTCATTTATTCTAAATCCTTCCTCCTCCATAGAAGTGGGTCAGAGAAGAAAGTCAGGACGTGCCTGCTCGCTTTCGCTTTATACTTTTTCTTACTACAGATAGTACATTCTCATGTCGTACAGGAAATAGCAATTAACAGATCTGGTTTGGATTCTTGTGACCCAGCTTTGGATTCTGCGTTTTTTTCCCTTTTTTAACAGGAATACTGGGATTCCTGTTAACATAATTCAGCCTCCTTTATCTGAGTTCATTGAGCTGTGAATTTTGCCTTTTCACTCCCAATGAAGTAATAGCCACTTTCATGCTCTCATTCCCATGAGATATGACCTTCACCGCTACATTCCCATTCGATATTTTCAGGTTTGATACGGATAATACAAGAAGTAAAAAAAAGTTTTGAAATTCTGCACAATGGCTCACCCCAGCAAGCAAACTGCAGGAAATACGATGGTATGTTATCACCTTCTCTTCTAGTCCATTAAGTCCTATTTGAACTGCAATTTCCTTACACAAGTGCTTTACTCAAAGGCTGCTTATAAAAAAGAATCAAGTAAGCCTCCAAGTTGCAGGGGAGACTGTCGCTACTGCACATCCCAAATGAAGTAAGACTCTTCTCAGCAGCTTAGACTTGCAGGGCTTAAGCTAGACTTAAAGTCTTTCTCCTAGCTGGCTTGATCAGTCCCCAAGTTGGTGTGATACCTGATGCAACTCCCACCTGAGATGCCAAGCTTCCACCTATGCTTTCTGCCATGCAAGAGAGCCTGAAACAACCCTGAGAGTTCTGTGTGGTTCCCTCTCTGTGGTGCCTTTTTTAGTGGGTCTGCTTCAGACACACAACAAAAAGGTTTCAGCTGTACAATGCTGTATATAAAGAATTAGTCCTTCTGATAAATTTAACAGAGTCCAGTTCTCCAGTGCATACACAGGTCACAGACCACACTACTTCAAAGCCTTTTTTTGTCTTTTCTCATATGGTATCCAGACGAAAATGTGTCAAGTTTTAGTGCACTTTTAAAATTAATGTTTTCTGTCTGAACTTGGAAGTTTTGGGAACAACAGGTTTTGAATCTGATTGGATTTTTGCCATTTGCAAAGCATTAGCTCTAAGAGTAGGAGGATACGATATATGCCTTTTCATTCATCCTTCCCTGCTTCATATATGAAAACTGACATCTCACACTGTACAAATAAAGGAAACTAATTTCCTGGCATCCCTTGAGTACTTGCCAACAGCACAAGCAGAGCTGAAATGAAGACTCTGGGAGGGATTCAGCTGACTAAGAGTTTTTACAATGCATGACACCACATCTGAGCACGTCACCTTGGGCTCTCCTTATCGTCAGTGAAGAATTAACTGAGGTAGGCAATGACAGAGCAGCTCTTTTCAGCCTTAAGTATGCATCTGAGTGTGGCTGGATAAATAGCACCCCAATACCCACTGGCTATGGTGGGAGCACAAACAACTAGCTCAGAAGCAGACATCTAAATTTAAATGAGACAAACCTCTTGAACTGCCCTGAAAACCTTTCAAATTTTTGACCTAAAACTAGACTTGGCTTTTTAAATTCCGAACACTGTGATCTGACATTTCTTTATGCATTAATGGCATTAGTGTAATCAGCTGAGTTTGCTCTCACTGGCGTTACCTGGTAAGCATGGTCCGTGTGTACGAGGTAGAGGTTGGTAGGAGCTGAGCGGCTCAGAGGTGTCATCAATTTAGTCTCAGTTTTGGCACAGGAAGTTTCGGGACGGACTGCATCTTGGGTAGGAAAGGCAGGAGGAGATGCTAAAGATGGAGAGACTGGGGAAAGACTGCTTAAACCATCAGCTACTGAGTCCGTATTGAGCCTGATTTCTGTGTAGTAAAAATCCTCCTCTCCATCACTGTAGTCAGACTCTCCTACACGTCTGTATCAAGACAAAGAATGAAAGACTGATTAAATGAAAGCAAGAACCCCACGGTAAATTTTAAGATCTAGATACATGAGCAAATATATTCATACTGTCAATAAACTACTATTCCCAGTTTCAACACTACCTACTTTATCAGCAATCTGACTGCAGGAGAGGGGAAGAGGAAGAGAAAATCATCTTGTCTGAGGGGAAAGAAGAATTAGATTTTTTCCCCTCTGTGTTCTTCATGACTAATTTTTTGACCTTAAAGTAGATGTTTAACTTCTGTGCTTCAGCTTGAATATCAGCTTCTCATTCCTAACTACTGAAGTTAACAAGAATCTCAGTGTACTTTGACTTCAGAAAGACAAAGCAGTCACAGAAGGACAGGAAAAGATAAAAAACATGGACAAGATATACTTCACTAATGTCATAGCATACAGTATGTAATCTTATCATAGGTTACTTAATTAAACCACATATAGCCATGGCTGTGGTTCACCATAACCCTTCTGGCATAACAGAAGAAGCTGCTAGCAGTCTCACCATGCAACTCCTTCAGACACAGGCAGAAAAGGGACATATATCAGTTTGCTTGCCAGTGTAAGACTTTCTGGTCCTGCTCTCCAGAAGCAGAATTACTGAAGAAGGAAATGTAAAAGGTTTAATTGCCCCTGCATCCCTGGCACTATCTGTTGTGTATTTGAGTGCAAGTGCTAGAAGCAATAGCTCTCAGTAGGCTACATGTCCATTTCGAAGTTCAAAACAAACCACTCTCTTAGCACATTAATAACCCACAAGCTATACAGAGGTAACTCACAGCTCATACATCCGTATTTTCTCCTGAATCTTCCATATGGGAAATCTGAGAGCCCTAAAAATCCTCCAGGCTGCATATCCATATCAGGGCTGAACACTGGTCCTCTCCTTCTCCAGGCAAGCACCACAAAACCAGCGCCTAACCAGTTGTTTAGCCTGCTTGCTCCAATACCTCTCTCTGTGGTTCTCTCACCACCTTACCCAGCAGAACTTGTTGAGAGAGCATGTGTTCACCAGTTTGAAAGGCTCTACCAGAAGTACTATACATCAAACTGCAGTCACATTCACCAAAGCTCCTCTTTCAGGCAAAGTTACAAACTCTAAATTCCAGAGAAGTTCTGCTGTTTACTTCTCCATCTTCTGTGCCCCAAAAACGATCTCCCCATAATACACAGGACAAAGCAACACCCATAATGCCATTTTGAGAGACATTTTGTGTTTCTGATTACTTCACTCTTCAGATCACATCAGCAATTACTATGCCCTTTGCAAGACTCTCCTGAGCTCTGCACTAGACTACTTCCTCACAGTCACTTAAGTTTTAAGCACTGGGTAACAGACTACACAACAGAGATGCATTTTCACGTACCTAACAGCTGAAGACCATGAGTCCCCACTATAAATACAGACGAGACAGCTAGGTCACTCAGCAAACTGTGCTGGAGATTTCAGTTGCAAACTAAACCTCTGAAACAAGCTTGTGTCATACAAGATTTGTCTGCTTTTGCTCCTAGTACAAGTAACATACACACGGAATTGCAATTCAGTTTCTTTTCCTTGTGTTTCTTAGGTGGCTTGTTTGGAGGTTCTTTTGGTATTTGACTCAGAACTAGCTCAAGCACCTGATCTGATGTGATGTGGATGGAAAGTATTAGTGCAAGACCCTGAAACTTGCTGTTTTTCACACCACATCAGCCTGGACATGACGTGCAGAGAGCGGCACTTGATACGCAGTAAATGCCACTGAGTTGTGTGGCCATTATTAGGGCAGTGCAGTGACTTAGAGCTGTATGTGATCTAGCAAAGGTCACAAAAGTTCAGGAAAGAAAGTGCCTCACTGTAGAGTAAGGTCTTGCTCATCTTGATGTGCCACTCCACAATTTCCTCAGGAACCTAGGGATCTGAGACAGAATAGCCAAGGGCAATCTAGATCATCTCCCCAGCCAAGTGTGACTGCCCCCCTTCTATATCAAATCTTTCTGAAGAGACTGCTTTCTTACCCAAGGTGAATGGTCCGTATGTGTTTCTGAATCCCTGCAGCTGTGCTCAGTACCTTCCCACAGTTTTTCCACAGGCATTTGAACATCACCTTCATGGAGTTCTGAAAATTATGAGTAAAGCAACGTTAGTCATATGGAATATAGAACAAAACCCAAACCACCCCAAACAGATACACAGTTACAAAACACTGTGAAGGTTCAGAGTCTCTAATTCCAAATCTGTAATGATGTAAGAGTCTCTGTCAATAGGCTCATCCTACTGAACTCAGCAGAATCCCAGTGAAAAGCTGCAGGAGCAGCTTGTGAGAAAACTTCATCTCTCTCTACTCTTTGGCACAGCGTTTTCATTTGCAAGTTCCAGTTTCTGTCTACCCACTAAAGGAGACAGATGATATAAAAACTTCCAACACTTCTTTGGAGCCTTTCAAAGAACAGCTGATGAGGACTTCTCACTTCATGCAAAGCATCTTCTTAAATTAAGATCTTCCTAAAGCAAACTCTTATGAATATTTCTGCTTGTGAATTTTGCAACACATAAAAAATACTGTGCCAGGAAACTGTAGCTTCTGCTGTGACAATATTCACCCATGAGTTGGCAAAAACCTGCTCTGATTTCATTCAGAAGCTGCTGTGACCCTTACTTGGACAAGAGAGTGAGAAGCCATCTGGCAGTGTTCAACGTTTTAAACAGAATACATGTATAATGTAATTTTAATATTCTTCTTATATTATTTAATATAACTTCATTGGCCTAAACTGAGTTATCACTGATTTGGAGCACAGCCAACAAGGATGTAAGCAGCCCCATCTTCAATATTTTGAAGACTCTAGAGAAAACCAGTCTTAATTTAAAGCCCAGTATGTGGTAACAAACAATGAAGATGTTGCAGAACTGTATAGATTTTTTTAAAGCTATTTCTACCACAAAATCATACTTTATGAATTTTAAGAAAATAATTATTTTTACTTCTCAAAAATAATTTTCTCTATTATTACAGAACACATTATTAAAAAGAGGAAGAGCTTCAAAATATTTATTACTGTCTTACAATTTTAATTACATGTAAGATTAAATGAACGTTTTCATATAATGCTCAATTGAGAAAAACAAGGAGGGAACAAGCATATCCTGAAGAGTTAAATATATGGCTTCACTGTGTCTTGAACAAAAGTTGTTTAGTTTGGACACTTTGGACCATTGGAACCGCATGGTAGTTTCAGCATTTGCTAGAAAGATGATGATAAGAAAATAATTGTAACAAACCTTAGCTGATGGACTTTAAGCTGACTGTAGCAGCATGTTCTCATTGTTTCTTGGCAGTCTAACACCTCTTTGGAAGTACAGATGCTAAGGGCTTTAAGATTTGAGGCACCTGATCATACTCTTTGTATGAAAACCTTCTACCCTGGAATAAGTTGCACGTGAATCCCCTCTGTAATTTTTTAATCTAACAATACAAGTGCCATTCAAATAGATACAGAACTCCTTTTTTTTCCCTAAATATAACCTATCTAGCAATCTTCATAAATACATTTCTTACTTTTATAATATAATACTAAATACTATCATCATCTCAAAACCTTACAACCAACCACCAGCCACAGTGACAAGATGAAGACTACACTTATCATTTACATCTTGAGAATCCCATATCACCTTGTGAACACCATGTGCATCTTTATGAACACAGAGTGGCTTAACATCCGTCTCCAGTTTGAAGGCAAAACCTGTCTCCTAGCTGCACTGTGTTTCTGGTTTTACTGTCAGTGCTACAAGTCTGCAAAACCCCATGGTTTTTAATGTAACCAAATGAAATCTCACTCAGTAGAAATACAGAACATAAACTATGCTTCCATTTCTGACTAGTCCAAAAATAGCCTAATCTGGCTTAAGGTTTTACTTAAGAAAACAATGGAACACAAATGTTTTGGTGAGGAACAACTACATTAGTGGAAACTTCTAAGCAAACAAATTTCTTCACAGGAAGTGCTTGCAAACATGACATTTTCCAAACATGAAATGGAAGAAACTTTAATGAGGAAAAGTGAGGTTATCAATTGCTCTGTTTCCAGGTTTATTCCTGATGACTTTTGCAGCCCTGAAGAAGAAATAACCTGAACATTTTTATTTCAGCTTCTAAACGTGTAAAGCTGTACTCAGATAAAGTACCATGCTGGGGACAGAATAAAAAAACCTGCAGGAAACACAGTTCATTTATAAAACAAAGTTTGGCAGGTAATGTCATTATTTATCTAATTCAAACATTTGCAATACAGAGCAAAATCCCTGCCAACCAGAACAGACAGTGTAATAGATCTGTGGTGGGTACATAAATAGAAATATTATAAGACAACTTAGAAAACAATGAAGATGGCAGCTGCAAACCCATCTGTCTCATCACAGCCGAGCAGTAAGTGATGCTAGCAAGCTGAACTTTAACTGAGAAGTATGAGGCAAACCAGCACACTTCTGCATTCCTACTCCTCCTGTCTCACAACCCCCAAGAATCATCTCTTTATTTTAACAATCAGCTCTAACTTCTAATTAATTATAACAAAATGTCCTCCAAAATAGTTTTGTTTTTTTTTTCCTCTTTAGCAAGAAACACAAACATTTCCCACTCCTCTCCCACAGACAAGGGCAGAACACTGTGGGTCAGCAAACAAGCAGCTTCTGGAGCAGAAGGATAAATCTGAACAGGTTTAAACAATCACTAAAACTTCCTGCTGGTGATGAAGCAATTAACTGTCTCAGACTGAGCCAGAAACAGCCACTAAGGAGAATAAATTCTCTGCTTGGTCTCCTTACAAAAAGCCCTTTTACATCTTGCTATGTAAATTCAGTCCTATTGTGTTGGGAGGGAAGGAAACTTGGACTAGTGCCATCTGTTTTCTTTTTCTTTGAGAAGAGCTTGCTTGCTAGTGGAACAGTTCTTTTGGGGGGTTAGTTTTTATGCTGTGGTTCATTTAATCTGCTTTTGCACTCCTACCAAGGATAAACTTGACCAGTATCAAAAGCCATCAGGTTTGACCTCTTTCCTTTTTTCACTCCATATGTTTGTGCAGAGAAAGCTCCACAGTATTAAGGTATCTGACATGCTATCAGACAAACAGCACTTCCAGGGAACAAGAAATATTAAGGCCATATCCCATTTTTGTGATAACATTAACATGTAAAGTCTGCCTGTTGCATCCTGCATACAAAGGATTTGCCAAAACAGGACAGAAATCCCTTGGACGGCCAGAGGCAACACCTGGAAATCACTCTAGTGCTTTCTGAACAGGAGGATCTGTACAACCTCACCATCTGCCAGCAAGTATGCAGTACTGATGGCACTATATGTGTGTAGAGGTGACAAGGTTGAACAAGACAGAGTGACTAAACCAAGTATCTACACCAACTGGATGCCACGAGGGACACGAATACAGAGTTGTTAGGGTGACTGGTTCTTTTCTCACAGCAAAATAAGTCTACCAACATCCTATCTCCCCATGGGTATGGAATTTAATATGAGGCTAACCTTTCTCTTCCTAGGAATGGGTTCATCAAAGAGAAGGTTGCTTGTTTCGGCTTCGTCAATACCATCATCTGTCTGGGAAGGTGTCCGAAAAGCTTTGAAGCTATCAGCTGACAGAGGTGGAGATGGGGTGGATGGGTTGGACTGGTCACTGGGAGCATTCCAGCTCCAGTATCCACTGCTGCTGGTACTAGAAGGCACAAATCCTCCTTCCTTCCAAGATCCATTTATGGATTCTGTCAAGGACAACAACAGCCATCATTACAACAGTATGTGTTAGGGCTAAGGAACTCTTAACTTACGCTTAGATGCCATATTGGTAATTAACTGTATGTTCAATAAAGAAAAGCAAAAGTGTTGGAAGTAGAGAGGGGAACGACATCTGTCCTACTGCATATAAATTATATATTCCACACTTGATCTTTCATAAAAAGTGAAATAACAAAACTAAAACCAAGCAACATTTTCCCCAAAAGAAATGCTGGGTTTGGAAAAATAACCTATTCTGGAGCATAAACTGCACTAAGCAGTCAGATACTGCAAGCACCCTCAAGGAAAAACATTCAAATACATCCTCAACTTTCAACAGGAACATGGGACGCTGGTGGGGCATCAGAGCAAGCTCTAAGCCACTGCATGGACAACAGGAGATCCCCTGGGAAGGGGACATACACTCTGAGTTCCAGGGCACTAAGTAGATCTGCAAAACCATGATACAACACCCCAGTAGACACCAAAGAAAACCATAATTAACACTCTGTTCATAATCCCCCATTGCACACACCTCTGCATAACTTGAATGCCTAAATGAGGTGGAAAGTATCCTTAGATGGATATCCCTTTGTCTTCATACAGGTGCATCATTAAGAATGTGGTTTCAGAAGTAGCAGACACAGATGCTGGATCACCTCCACACCTACTTGCTGGAGGAACCCCCTCCTCCATGCAGCCGTTCCCCTGACATTAGGTGGCAAGCAGACACTTCAACTAACATGCTACTCTACAACATGGTGGGTGACAGTAACATTTGCATGTCACTCTTCCCAATCCCTAAAGGGGTTTTGCCAGGAAAGGATTATGTAGATCATCAGCTCAGCAAAGGCATGGCTGGAATGTGTCCAGAAGTGCAACCACGGGTGGCTCTGCCTGAAGCTTCAGGTTCTTACAGGGCTCGGGCACATGTGCAAGGATAGCTTAGGTGCAGCTTCTCCCTAACTCAGGCACTGGAAACTTTTCCCAATGACACCATATTGTGCAATACCCGACTTTGGACTTGGCAGGCAAATAACATCTTATCTCTTTGTGAAACATTATTTAAGTGTGAGACAGGAGTCTTTTCAAGCCAGCACCTGCCTTGAAGAGTTCTGCAGAAGTCACTCCTTCATTCCTTCTCAGTTTCTTACAAATTTAACTCATGACATCAGCAAGAAAATAATTTCTACCACCTGCTACCAAAAGCTTAACCCAAACCAATGATTTTTATTTTTTTCCTTTCTCCTAGTTCAGTTGATTTTGGTTTAAACCCTTAATCATTAACATCAGCTGCTAACAAAACAGAACACAGTGCTCCATCATCTAAACACATGCATAAAAATGGCCCCGTACTTACACAGAGCATAAATACAATCTCCTCCTGCCCTCCCAGATTCCACTTTGGAAAAGGACATAAATATTTCTGGTACCTACTGAGTTAACGCATGAAAATGTCACACTTTGTTTCATGATTACAGCATTCATGTGACTGTAATGGTGGTGGGTTTTGGTTTTGTAAGTATTTGTACTTGAGTCTTGTGCCAAAGCCAAGCAGTACATCTGGTATCAACTTGTGACCTTAGCCTAGGTCAAAATGTCCATTTCTTCAGAAAAGCAAAGGAACCAGCACTCCTTCAACTACTACTTTCTGACACATTTATGGTGATATTTCATATTCTCAGGGTTTACAGCTTCTCCTCAACTTGCTGAGAAAGAGATGTAAATCAAGAATATGTTTAAAGTAGTACACAAAAGACTGAATACAGCTGACAACAGGAAAAAACAAACACTGGTTCTCATTAATACTAACAAATCTATCAATATAAATAAATTTAAAATATAAATAAATGTAACTTACTCTTATTTGGGGGCTCTTTTCACTTTGCTGGAGTTGCGTGAAAGAGAACCAGACCAAATATTACTCAGCTGCAGGGAAACACGGGCCAAACTCTGATACAGTTTACATGGGTGATCATCCCCAGTAATTCCAGCACAGATCAGACTTTAATACTATATGCTAATGTTATCTCTTTATACTTTTAGGCAAAATTCCATTTGTTTAAACAAATATTCCTTTAATTTCACTGCTACTTACTGCCCCTTTTTAGAAAAGGACGTAGACAGAATTAATCATTAGTGCATTTGTAGCTCATATTACTAAGATCAGAGCCTACCCTTGCAACACCACATGAGCTTTAAATTATCAAATCTTTACACTTTAAGTCTTCTATTAAGTCTTCACTCAGGATATTCAGGGAGAAGGTGCCCAGAAACAGCTTCAAAATCTTGCCTGCGACTACTGAAAACACATGTGTTACTTTCTCAGGCTAGTCTTCCCAGATTCAGAGAAACAGACAAACTATGTGAAGACATATCAAAGAGCCTCAGACTGCATGAAGAAGTATCAAAGGCAGTTAACAGCTACCATTTACCTATTATCAATTCAAAAGGACTTGTTTGGAACATCTTTCCAACCAACAGGTGCTAGCTAATGTGCACTGCTGCTCCTGACAAGTGTTGTCTGCTCAAACTGTCTACAGCGGCAGATACTGCCTTGCCCCACAGCAGAGCAGCTCCCTCTGAACAAAGATGCAACATGGGACATGCGCGTGCCTCTGCCACTCCAAATCCCTGCCTGGCACATCAGCACAGATCCACCTTTGTCTGTGGCTCTGGCTGTGGCGGAGCATCTGGAGAACAGGTTTGTTTTACCCTTCCACCGGCCTTCCCTCCGGGCTGGCAACCTCCAGCCCTGAGGCAGGATGGTCACTGGGGATGTCACTACTGGAAGCTTCCCAGGGCTCCTCTGAGCAGTGGCACTCCTTAAATACGTCTTGTTTTCAGCACTGAAAAGCACACAAACAGGAGCCGTGGGTGTTCATGGCTATAATTCAAGCTAAATGTTTTGTGGAAAGAAATGGAAAAAACACACAATTTGTCCAAAAATCTTTAAATCTGGGACATTTGGTATGAATACCTTGTAAGAACACTACTCACTGGATTGCCTCTGCTTCCATGAAGAACAGTAAAGACTACTTCCCTATTAGTTTGTATCTGTAAGTATTCCTTAAAGTCCTCTGATTATTTACAGTTGGAGGGCATATAGTGTCTACTTAAGAGTTACATGTGAGTAAGAAAAGCAAGAGCCACATAATGCTGAGACATCCTAACAAGGGTGTCCTAATTTAAACTATTTCCTAAAATATAACATTTTAAACATTTTTTGTAACTCCAGCCAGGCTTGCCAGATTCATTATATTTGATTACCAATCACATTATTACCACTAACTTTTTAGATTTTTTCTTTTTTGTGTGTCTTCTGCTATACCATGAGTAGTCTTTTAAGAAATTATGGATGTGATCTGTAATTGACCTCGTGCTCACCAACAGGGAGGGGCTTGTTGGAAATGTGACGCTCCAGGGCAGCCTTGGATGAAGCGATCATGAGATGCTCGAATTTGAGATCCTCAGGACAGTGAGAAGAGCGTGCAGCAAGCTTACTGCCCTAGACTTCAACAGAGCAGACTTTGGCCTCTTCAGGAACCTGCTTAGTAAGGTTCCATGGGATACAGCCTAGAGGGCAGGGGGGCCAAAGACTGCTGGTTGATATTCAAGGGTCACCTGCTACAAGCTCAGGAGTGTTGCATCCCGACCAGAAGGAAGTGCAGCAGGAGGGCCAGGAGACCTCCTTGGATGGATAAGGAGCTGCTGAGGAAAATTTGAAGGAAAAAAGAGGCTTAAAAAAGGTGGAAGCAAGTACAGGCGGCCTGGGAAGAATACAGGGATGTTGTCTGGGAAGCTAGGAACCTGGTTAGGAAAGCTAAGGCCCTGTTAGAATTAAACTTGGCTAGGGATGTGAAAGATAACAGGAAGGGATTCTATAGGTACACTGTGAATAAAAGACAGACTAGGGACAATGTGGGCCCTCTCCAGAAGCTATCAGAAGAACTGGCTACCCTGGATTTGGAGAAGGCTGAGGTTCTGAATGACTTCTTTGCCTTGGTCTTTACTGGCAAATGCTCTGACCACACCACCCAAGCCCTGGAAGGCAGATGCAGGGACTGTGAGAAAGAAGACCCTATGCCCACTGTAGGAGAGGATCTGGTTCAAGACTATCTTAAGAACCTGAACGTGCACAGGTTCATGGGACCTGATGAAATCCATCCACGGGTCCTGAAGGAGCTGGCAAATGAAGTTGCTAAGCCATTGTCCATCATATTTGAAAAATCATGGCAGTCAGGTGAAGTTCCCAATGACTGGAAAAAAGGAAATATAACCCCCATTTTCAAGAAGGGGAAAATGGATGACCCGGGGAATTACAGACCAGTCAGTCTCACCTCTGTGCCTTGCAAAATCTTGGAGCAGATTCTCCTGGAAGGCATGCTAAGGCACATGAAAAACAACAAGGTGCTTGGTGACAGCCAGCATGGCTTCACTAAGGGGAAATCCTGCCTGACCAATTTGGTGGCCTTCTATGATGGGGCTACAGAACTGATGGACAGGGGTAGAGCAGTTGATTTCATCTACCTGGACTTGTGTAAAGCATTCGACACTGTCCCGCACAACATCCTTGTCTCTAAATTGGAGAGACATCAATTTGATGGATGGACCAGTCGGTGGATAAGGATCTGGCTGGGCGGCCGCGCGCAAAGAATTGTGGTCAGTGGCTCAATGTCCGGCTGGAGACCAGCAACGAGTGGCGTCCCTCAGGGATGGGTGTTGTGACCCGTCTTGTTCAACATCTTCATCGCTGACATGGACAGTGGGATTGAGTGCGCCCTCAGCAAGTTTGCCGATGACACCAAGCTGTGTGGTTCGGTTGATACCCTGGAGGGAAGGAATGCCATCCAGAGGGACCTTGACACCCTTGTGAGGTGGGCTGATGCCAACCTCATGAAGTTTAACCATGCCAAGTGCAAGGTCCTACACCTGGGTCAGAGCAATCCCAGGCACAGCTACAGGTTGCGCAGAGAAGAGATTCAGAGCAGCCCTGCACAGAAGGACTTGGGGGTGTTGGCTGATGAGAAAATGAACATGAGCTGGCAGTGAGCACTCACAGCCCAGAAAGGCAACCGTATCCTGGGCTGCATCAAAAGGAGCGTGACCAGCAGGTTGAAGGAGGTGATCCTGCCCCTCTACTCTGTTCTCGTGAGACCTCACTTGGAGTGTTGTGTGCAGTTCTGGTGTCCTCAACATAAAAAGCACATGGAACTGTTGGAACAAGTCCAGAGGAGGGCCACGAGGATGATCAGGGGATTGGAGCACCTCCCGTATGAAGACAGGCTGAGGAAGTTGGAGCTGTTCAGCCTGGAGAAGAGAAGGCTGCGTGGAGACCTCATAGCAGCCTTACATTATCTGAAGGGGGGCTATAAGGATGCTGGGGAGGGACTATTCATTAGGAACTGTAGTGATCAGACAAGAGGTAATGGGTTAAACAGGTAAAGTTTAGATTAGATATAACAAAGAAGTTCTTTACTGTGAGAGTGGTGAGGCACTGGAACAGGTTGCCCAGAGAAGCTGTGGATGAGCCATCCCTGGTAGTATTCAAGGCCAGGCTGGATGGGGCCTTGATCAACCTGGTCTAGTGGAAAGTGTCCCGGCCCATGGCAGGGGGGTTGGAAATGGATGATCTTTTAAGGTCCCTTCCAACCGTTCTATGATTCTATGATTTTCTATGTGCAATTGCAAATAAACTGTTAGAAAAATTAGCACTTCAATTGTTTAGGAGAATTTCCGCAGCACTCATCTCCCACTTATGAAATGGGGCATCTCCCATTTTATAAACTGGAGCTGCTCTACAGTTACAGAAAAGGCTTCTTCTTATTTCTGCTAATGCTTCACCAAAGACCTTAACTAGGTTGGAGAACAGCTCAGTATGGCTCTCAGCATGCAAGGGGATTGCCAAAAGACAGCCACTCACCCTCTGTCCTCCACCATGGCTAAAGCTGCTGGGAACAAGCCCCCACATACAGAGCCCTTGCACCCTCCCTGCAGCCCCTGTTCTGGCCAGCTCTGCAGGCTTACCGTTGGGTCGGACAGGAGGGCTGCGGACCAAGGGGCTGGTGGATAAACTGGTGAGTACCATGGCTGCTGTTACTTTATCCATGTCCAGCTCTTCAGATGATTTTCTGAAACACAGTGAACGGGGCGCAGGAAACACATTAGCAAATATTTAACTTTTTCTAAGTGGTGATTTTTGTTTTTTCTTTTTAACACCAGCCCAAACCCTAAGCCAGAACAGTGCAGTAGTGGAAGCAAGCTACCAAGCAGAGTTCTCAAAGCTTTTGTTTTCTGGCAACCTGAGCATAGCAAGTGGCTACTTTAAGCAAACCAGCTCAAGGTAAATAGGAAAAGCTGTGGCTAAAGAGAATGCATCTTCCTATAAGGTCAACTCTGCTCCCCCCTCTTTTTTTTTTTTTACTTCAGAATTCCAGCTATTCACATCCTTAGAGCTAAGTGTGTACTTAAGGGTTGTTTTTTAATTACTGGATGAAGACATAAAGATGCAAAACCAGGTAAGATTACTAGTAGAATTAACAGCATACACTACACCGTGGTGAGGAATAACTATGAACTGGAGCTAAGGGATGCAATTTTTTCTTTGTTGCTCCTGCTTAACACTAATAACCTTCTCGTACTCTCTGAAACGCTGATCCTAATTTTCCCTGGTCAGATTATAAACCAATTATTTAAAATAACTATCAAAGTGGCAGAAAACCCATGCAGGGGAATTGAAATAGAGACAGAGAGAAGGGTTTTTTTGCAGGTGTAATGGGCCCCTCAGCAAGCAGGATGGTGGAAAGAGAAGAATCCATCGCTGCCTTAGCTTGGTCTTGTTGGGAACCAGCTCTAAGTCAGAGGAGAAGGCACAGGGAATGTAAAATTTCTGAAGGGGGAACATACCAAAATAAAACTACTAAATCCACTAGTTTCAGCAAACTTTTGCTCTCCATCCTTGCAGGACACTGGAATCAAAGTAGATAGTTTCTTACAAACATTTGCTTTCAGACATATGACTGATTATCCAAGACCATCTGCTCTTTACTAGAGATGAAACTAAATTTGTTCTTACAAAAGGATGCTTTCCCTCCCTCTATTCTGCATTGAGGGGTTTCTAAAATTTCCACTGTGGCTTGCCAGGAGTTCTATTTAACCATCGGGTTCTGTCTTTACAGCCCAATATGAGAAGTGTTCAGCTACCTGATGTCTTCTATTGGCTATTGATTGGTAAGTCACCATGAGGATTAGGACGTGCTGGTTGTAGTCCCCTTTCCAGAATCTCATTTCACCCACCTGATGGAAGGCTCATTAACTGCAAACTTCAACAGTCAAAGCCTCTTGATATTTTAGCAAACAAACCTTGAATTTGTCCATGAAATGGTTCACAGCTGCTATCTGGCGGCTGCAAGGACCCATGCAGATACAATGAATATTACATGCCGCACAACAGCTTAGTTCTCATGACTGTCTTCTGCAACACATCAGTGCCTGGAACTGAAACACTGATGATGGTTCCTGCTGCATTCTAATTATATCCATGGAAACCCTCCTTTCCTTCAGCCAAGTGTTTTGCAAAAAAGCACAGCAGCCGTATGGTCATCATCAAGTACTGGAAAGGTCTTGGATATCTGCTGTAATCAGCTAATACCTGAATGTGTCACCTATCAGGTCCTGTCGCCTGCAGAGTATTTCTCTCAGAATGCCTAATTCCTCTGGGCTCAGAAGACCTTTCCTCAGGGATGACATAAAGAAGCTACATTTCTTAGAGATCAATGCTGCCGGATCATTTTCCAATTACCTAATATCCCAGTATGAAAATCTGCTGTGAGAAGGATTCAGCTGTTCTGTAGCGCACTCCTGCAAGACTACACCAACTGTTCCTTCTCCCTTATCCAGCTGTGGATGAGGCACTAATATCTGCTCTTTTGCAACGTATGGGGACAAAATGACCACAGGCTCCTGATCCGCTGGAGAAGCTGATTCTTAGCACTTGCAATCATCTTTCCGACAAAGCTCTTATGTGTGTGTGGCAACAGGACCAACACCCTCCTGGCCAGGGCTCTGCAGAGCTGCAAAATCACACTACAGCAGTTGTAAGCATTTGTGAAGTTAGCGTCAAGATGTCAGAGTGCAGACCTAGAGCTAATTCCAAAGTTCCTTCAAGGAGTCTATAATTTTAACTTATTCTAGCTCTTCTGTATTGATGTTTTTTTCCCCCTCTACCATGACTCAGACTGCTGCTCTGAAAAACTAAACTTTGCTCCAAATAATTTTGTCAATAATGCCCCATAATTGCCAGCACTGGCATCCGCGCCCAAAATGGAAGTCTTCACAGGCTGGCAAAGGACAAGAAAAATCATGAAAATCCCTGCCATTTCTAGCCATGCTAAACCACACTCTTGCAGTTACTGGATCCCTTTTTTCTACTTGATCCAACTTAACAGATTTTTAATATGGAAAGCCCAAGTAAATAAAGCTTTGGGCTTTTTCTCTGCCCATTTTGAATCACAGTAACTTTTACTACTTGCTGCTCCTCAGCTGCATCCAGCAAATAATGAATGCTCTGCTCGTACTTCCCAGCCACAAGAATTTCAGCCGCTACAAGAGCTGGCTCATGCAACTGCTCCCAAACACGTTTTTACAGTTTGGCTCATAAATATGTGATATATGAAATATGTATGTTTACATACTTCATATATCACTCAGCCAGCACCACTGCAGCAGCAGCAGCCTTCAAGACAGAGGCAAAGCATAAAACTGAAGACAGGAACCACTTAAGCCATCTGCATTTAGTCAGCATCACATGAAAGTTGATGCCTTAAGACTACTCCAGTCTTTTCCAGCCTTCTTTGCTGGAAAGCTGAACGTGTACACAACTGTTCAACAGTACTTGCACTCAGAGGGGAGAACAACTTGTTTGTTACACATCCTGGAAGTGTTCACAAACCATGTAGATGGGCCCTTCGTGACATGGTTTAGTGGTGGACTTGGCAGTCCTGGGGTAACAGTTGGACTTTAAGTTAAAGGTCTTTTCCAACCTACTTGATTCTGACTATTCACAAACCATTTGATCCACCATTGCTAAGGTGACTTTCTGCAGACTGAAGTTGCTTATACTGTTATTAGGTGTAATGAAATCTAAATCAGTTGTAAGATCATCTACTACATCAGCTATGAAGATTATTCTCTCCTCTGTTCCACACCCCAGGCTCAAAATGCCATCTCCCAGCTCCTGGACAGATATATTTGTGTCAGCCCAGTCTCCATGTGAGACCAAGCATGTCTGGATCCTTTATTTCCAAGTCTTTGTAAATCCAAACCCAAGCCAACAGCTGAATTGTAGCGAAATAGCTGAGGCATAAGCAGCAGAAGTTAGGGAACCCTGGGGACAGATCTTTTACCACCACTTCATGTCTCTCAACTTCATGTCTCCCTGCTTCCTCAGCAGGGAGAACAGTTTCGCTTGATCCCTGCAACACCCTAACCTAGCTAGCCTGACAATTAAAATTGTCATTTGCTTTAATAGCCAAGCTCCAATTAAACTTGGTTACTACCTTCACTCTGCCCCAATCCTTTCCTTGGTTTGACTGATGAATTCACTGTTTTTTTGATAATCATTTAAGAAACTAGCCCATCTTTCTCAATCTGAGCTCTCTGTGAAGAAAAGCTGGGTTTAAGCTCCAAAGGATGAGCAGAAGAGGACCCAAGATGACTCCAAGGCTATGCAACTCCAAACCAACACAACGTCCAGTCTCCCACTGTCCTGTTTCCTCAGCCAGCATACTCACTCTAGAACCTGTGTTTCCTTATGGGACTGAACCCATGGTTAAAGCTCTTGATGCAATTCCTCCCTCCTAGCAACCTCCTGGTGAGTGGATGTCTTCCTGTCCTCCCTTTGGGAAAGACACACAGGTCCTCCTCTGGCCACTGTCACCTTCACACTCCTTCTAAGTGTTATTCCCACCTGGACACACCTATACCACACTTCTGGTTTTATTCTATCAGCTACACCATCATCTATGGTTGTAACTTTTTTTTTTCAACTGTTTCTCAAAAAATCCTTAGAAATATGTAATTTTTTTTTCTAGTTTTGAAGTCTTTAGTCTATTTTTTATTATTTGCCTGCCTTAGATCAGAAAGCCTGCAGGTCTTCCTAGTGGAAATACTTAGGTCAGTACTTTACTGAAGCATATTTTAAGGCTTCTAGAGAATATTCTTAGAGCAGACACACTCACAGTGGTAGCAGGTGTTTTTGACAAAACTGACCTTATTCAAAAGGACAACTAAGTCTATTTTAAGCAAATTAAAACCCAGACAAATTTATTTTCCCTGCCAGCAACTCAAAAGCTTTCAGTTTATCCACTGACCAGAAGCCTCTAACTCCAGTGCAGCGATTCTCAAAGCACTGAGGTTCATCCTATAGAAAGTGCTCTCCTATGCTCCCGAGCTGCCCTAACACAGCATGAGTGTGGACAAGGCAGAACAGAGCTGCTTCAAGTGGTATTGAGGAAAGCATTACTATTTACACATCTAAAGAGAGAACTGGGCTACAATGATACAATGAACTAATTAGAAGCTAGGGATTTTCTGCCTTTGCTCATTGCAGCAAAACAGAAAATTAACATTTTCCACACTTTGTGGTATTTGCAGACTAATTCACATACAGAATAACTGACCTTTCTTTGTTGGTCTCTGCTGTCCTTGTTATACACAAGCAATTTTTTTGGATACCAACAGTTGCTAGAAATTAATTGTGATCAAAACCCTTATTACACAAATACAGGAAATTTTCTTCTAAAAACCACATATACCTGAACTAAAGAGGAACTAAACTTGAACTATAAAGGAAAAATGCATCAAAGGCCACCTCAAAGCTCTCCACTTCCTCCTGGCCAAGATGACAGATTTTGCAATTTCCTCATTCAAAGGACCTTTGGAAGTCTGGCTGGTGTATTAGAGCCCAAGAAGAGACCATAGAGTCATCAGTGACGCAGGTACTGACTTCAGATCTGGACCATAATGGTTTAAAGACAACAAAAAAATCTCTGCAAATTAGTCATATCAGCTGAGATGATGGGAGACATTCACAGAGTGGTTCTCAGCATCCTGGAACAGAACATACTTTTAA